GTCTGTCTGTGAATGTGTCTATGTGTGTGTGCTTCTACATGTATGTATGTGTGTGTGTGTGTGTGTGTGTATCTGTTTGTGTGCATGTGTGTATTCATGTATTTGTGTGTGTTTGTGTGTGTATGCGTTTATGTGTGTGTGTATACATGTATGTGTCCATGTGCATTTGTCTGTCTGTATGTGTGTGTGTGTGCGTTTGTGTGTCTGTGTGTATGTGTGTATACATGTATGTGTTTAAATGTGTGTCTTTGTCTATCTGTGTGTCAGCTTGTATATGTGTGTAAGCATGTCTGCGTGTGTGAGGGTGTATGCCGTTTGTAATGTGTGTATACATTTATGTGTGTGTGTGTGTGTCTGTCTGTGAATGTGTGTCTGTGTCTGTGTGTCTGTTTGTGTGCATGCATGTATTTGTGTATGTGTTTATGTGCATGTGCGTGCGTTTATGTGTCTGTTTGTATGTGTGTGCCAGCTTGCATATGTGTGTACGTGTGTGTGTGTGTGTGTGTGTGTGTGTGTGTGTGTGTGTGTGTGTGTGTGTGAGGCGGAGACATCAGCCTGGCGAGGGATGGGGTGACAGCAGTTGTTAAGGAGTCGCCATGGATACCGCCGCCCAGGAACAATGTGGAGCGGGGAATGCAGCGCCGCGTTAAAACTAAAAGGATTCCAGTGGTGCGGATATATGTGTTAAACTCTCATACACACACACACACAACTACACAACTACACAACTACACACACACCGTCATACCCCAACACTGAACTATTGTTGAACTGTCTTCATTAACGAGGCAATTTGTATTTCAACTACGAAATATTATGCGTAATTGGATTAGTTGCATCATATGGGATTACTTGATTAAACCGTGTTAAAGTCTCATTTATGTTTTGAAAAGCTTCGCAGGGCGTCTAAATTTTGCTCTGAACTAATAGAAGTCATAAGGGCAAATCTGCACAATGTGAAAGTTACTATATTTTACAAATATTACTATAACTTGTGGCCAAAAAGTGCATTCTAAAAACTTGACTCTGGATTTGGACTTGAGTGTCGTCTAATGTGCGAGCACCCAGTTGTTTTTGTGTACATTTTGTGTATGTTTTTAGAGTGTTTTTGTGTTTTTCTTTGTTTAATTTTATTAGTCAGACTTGAGTCACTATTTTTAGGATTTGCCACTTAACTTGATAAAATGGACTAAGACTTGGGACTGGACTTGGTCTTGAAGATCACTGACTTGGGACTTGACAAGACTTGAGAGGCACTTTTAAATCAGATTTTTTTTCTATTCCACAAAAGCGATTGCGATTATCCCCGTGGGGCATGGAGTTCTGCGCCGGTCCTTTCGCCCGCAGTCACCTGACGGTCTACACGGTCGCACCTCTGGGCCTGTCCCAACATTTGGAACCATAACGATGGTGTTTCTCCACTGCTGATATCGTGGTGATTTTTGCGAATTTGTATGAAGAAAAATGAAAAACCCTCCACTTCAGTCCAGGTTAAAAAAGCACTGTAATGCTTGTTATTGACATTTGTACCAAGTAAAATATTAACTTTTTTTTTTCCCTGTAATGCCACATTACTGCCTTACAGCAAAAAGTAATGCATTACAGTAATTCATTACTTTTATAATGTGTTACTCTCAACACTGGGAGTGGGTAAGATTGTTTTTAATGGCAGGATAACTATGGCCATTGACATGCACTAGTCTAGCACCAGCGACCTCTGCAAATACAAGGACTGGATGGAATATTTAAAAAAGTGTCTCCACACGTCTCCAACACTCTGACTCACAAAGAAATGAGGTCCTATGTCCAAAAATCTGAACTGTCCCTTTGATCTGATCTTTATTATAACACAATCTGACCAAAAACTGTTTTTCAGTTAGTCACTCTCACCTTTTTATTCAAAATAAAACTTCCAAACATGACCCTAAACACTCGTATCGATCACAGGCTCGAGAAAACATGCTGTTTAAATCCACTTTTTCAAATTTTTTCTTGCGTTTTGAGACAGTCTTGAAACTTTTTGTCAGTGTTTTCTTATGTGTGCATCCTGTTTCCATGGTAACCGCTGAACATTCCGCCACAGAGATGCATGTAGAGCACCGCCAGTGTGATATCACTTCAAAAAAAACATTATGATATCTTTGCACAATGTCATTTATTAAGCTGATGTTCTTTCTCTGGAGATAACCGCTTTGTGTTTGAGTCAGTCCATTGTTCACGCTGGAGAGTAGGCCGATATGCATGCGTGCGTCATGGCATGCACAGGCAATCAGGAGGCTAAAGGGGAGTTTGCCCGACTAACTCTGCCCCCGGAGAGAGCCCCCTTCACCCCCTTCACCCTCCCTTCGTCCCCTTCTCCCCCTTCGTCCCTTGTTGTCATGCACAGGCGGTCCCCTTCCAGCACAAACAGGCTGGCAACACAGAAGCCATGTGTTTCAGCTCTACGCTTTGAAGGACTCCAGAACTTTTTTTTTTTTTGGCTAAAGGGTTCTAGGAAAAAAAAAAAAAAAAAAGAGACGCTGCAAAAGGAGGGGTAGAAAGAAAGAGTAAAAAAAGGGGTTGAAACACAGTGCGAGGCTAAGAAAGGCAGAGACATGGGACAGAAGAAGCAACAGGCAAAAACAAGCTGGGCTCAGGCTGATCCACTCATTTAATCCTCGAATATACTTTTGTTCTTTTTGCTTTTGTGGGAGATCTTACTTCAGACTAAGAAGAATCACAGGTATGTTTGAATCAACTCGAAACTAGTACAATGAAAGAAGAATAAGAGGAGCCTTGTTTGCGTTGGCATTTGGAAAGGAGGGGCCTCTGTGTTACAAAACTAATTAGTCCATTAATAGGCTGTTGTCCTGCTTTGTTGTTTAATTTATTCTTTTGTTTAGGCAAAGGAAAATGTTTCCCAAGTTCTAACGGTGCAGTATGTAACTTTTCTGGTTGAGGGTGCGCCATCTGCTTGTTTCCGTGACGATGTTGTGTACCACCACATTTGCATATCTTCATGTATGACTGTATAGGTTTTTATATGCAAATTTTCTCTCTAGTTGTTGCTTAATTGCATTTATATTGTTAAATGCTAAACGCCATTTTGTTGCACTGTACATAAGTTGAAAGTTTGTACACACTTTTTCACGTGTTTCTTTTTTATTTTCATGATTATTTGCATTGTAGATTCTCACTAATGCATCAAAACTATCAGTTGACTTGTATGGAATGTAGCAAACAAAAGTTAGATATTACATTTAAAAAAAATATTCACCCTTTGCTTTGAACCCTGATTTACACTTTTGGCATTTCTTGACCTTGACGCAGCAGCTGTGAGACTTCAGAAGAAAATCACTGAGAGAAGGCCAAGGGTTTTCAGCGCGGTCAACAAAGCAAAGGGTGGATACTTTGAGGATTTGAATGAAAGAATCTTGCATCTCATATTTGATGTCTTCTGTGTGTGACTGTACAGGTTTTTATATGCAAATCAAATTTTATCTCTAGTTGTTGCTTAATTGTTGCAAGGCTGGCACCACCTAGTGCCTCTGCTCAATTTCATTTCTCTCCAGCAACTAGGTCAGGAATCAAAACGTTATGACCAAATAGCAGAGATTGGTTGAATGAAAAAAAGTACCAGCCTACTGCCGAGCGAATGAATCCTAAAGTTATGAGGTCAGACGGTTTCTACGAAGTGAAACCGGCTGATAAATCAGGCTACATTAATTGCACTTCTATTGATAAATCCTAAACTACATTTTGTTGCATTGTACACCAGTCAAAAGTTTGTTCACACTTTTTCATTCATGTTTTTTCTTTATTTCCATTATTATTTGCATTGTAGATTCTCACTCAAGCATCACAGTGTAAGAATGAAATGTAGTAAACAAATGTTTAGATTTTAGATTTAAAAAAAAAATTCAGCCTTTGCTTTGGACACTGGTTTGCACTTTTGGCATTTCTTGACCCCTGGTGCTGCAGCTGTGAAGGGAAAACCATTTCATGAGACTTCAGAAGAAAATCACTGAGAGAAGGCCAAGGGTTTGCAGTGCGGTCAACAAAGCAAAGGGTAGATACTTTGAGGAGTGAAAAACTTGAAGAAAAAATATACTGAAAAGGAAGGTGTGTCCAACCTTTTGACCAGTAGTAAATGTATAAATGTACTAACAATAGGTGGATCTAATCTAACCCACAGACACAAGCAGATGATGCCACCAGTTTACAGGTCAGATCTGTGAAGAGGTGACCCAACTCACATGTTTCTCAAAGTATTTTTCATGATAAAAACACCTGAATAAATGCAACAAATATTTAAAGGTCCTATGTTTTGCTAAACTGACTCTTCTGAGCTTTAGGTCATGTTATAATGCTGTCAAAATTATACTTAGAGTTATGGTTGGTTTCATTCACACCTTGTGATGTCATGAAGTGGTGATTTTCAAGTTAACATTTCCTTTTAACTTTTGTTCAGTGGAGACTGGCAATTCCAGATCTGAAATCATCCAAAGTATTAGTTTAAAGGAGTTTAAAAACACAGTGAAGCACAGTGTTTTCAGTTTGAGAGAACTCAGCCTTAACATGCAGGTTTGTGTGTTAAACATGTGTGAATGAAACAATGCAACAAAACACATAATAGCACAATATGAGCCCTTCCAGGCAAAGCAGTACACTGCACATTTCTCTGATCTGACCAAGACTTTAAAACTTTAGATCAGGTTATTCATCTTGTTTTCAGATTTATTATCTACTTACTAGTTCTGAGACTGTTTAATTCTAGCCTGGAGGTACTTTATTTTAAGATAAGATTGCTGCATGGACAGATAATTTCACAACTATTAAGTCATTTTCTGATAGATTTAAGTATTTAAATTTTGGCAAAGCTTTTTTGCAATGTAACATCTTATGGAGACGAGCAGCCTCAGACCATCCATCAGAAAAGTTCCACAGTGCACCTTTAATTCTTTTCAATATATTTTCTGTCTTCTCTGCTTCTGTTTTTCTCCACCGCAGACAATTCCACCATGATGCCACGTGAGGACTTATCCCTGAGAGAGGAGTTCGCGTACAGTCACATGTCGACTCTGGAGAGGGGAGGGGGGAGTCTGGGGCGACGTGGGGACAGGATAGTGGACCGGAGGCTGGACCGAGGGGACAGACTGGACCATGACAGTTACACGGTGGAGGTGAGAGCCAGTGACCTGCAGCTCTCCCAACCACAGCCTCTGAAGCACCCATGCCTCACCTGCAGGGCCTGGCTCTACAGCGTCGTGATGGGGGTGAGAAAAAGCACACAAAACACACAAAATACTCTTTCTATAATGAATTTGCTTCTTTAAATTATACAAAAATATGTTGCAATAACTGTAATGATAATAATAAATGTTATAATGTTGTATAATGTTCTTAAAAACTTACTTGGAGTTGTGTTTTGTTTCATTCACATTCATTTGATTAACCCTTTTTTATTAGTCTGTCTACATCTCCAGAGCTCAAAATGCTCTGTTCCACTTTGTGAGATCATGAAGTGGTAGTTTTCAAGTTAACAGCTCCTTTAACCTTTTGTTGAGTGGAGTTTGACAACTTAAATTTGCAGGGTTTGTGTATTGTCACGGCCCAGGTCGTGTCCTGCCCTGCGCCGTCCTGCCGCTCTCCTCTCTCTCCAGGTGTTGTGTCCTCACCCGTCTCAGCTGCCCTGCCTGTCGCCCCACCCGCCAATCACCGCGGGATTATAAAAGCCTGCATGCGTGCACACGTCTCCCCTCTCCTCCCCTGCTCCTCTTCATCCTGCGGGCCTGACACACCGCCACGCCACATCCACCACTACCACCATTACCATCATGTTTTTAGAATAAACACTCTCTCAAGGGGTCAAAATTCTTCATTGTTGTTGTGTCCTCCCCCCTTTTGGTTGTGTTTTTTGGAGCTGGGGGCAACAATATTACACATGTGTGAATGAAACAAAACACAAATCCAGCTTTGTTTGTGATGAGGAAACAACATTATAACAGATATCAGCAAAGTGCATAGTATGGGCCCTTTAAAAACTGTGACATGAAGCAGAATATTATGTGTAAATACTGATTATTGCCTGTATTGCAAACAGTGATATTATAGTTCTGTGGGCTGTGTGCATCATAATGTATTGTGAGGGACCCTGTGATTTCTGGCTCTGCTCATACAGGCTGCCCACTCTCCGTGCATTTGAGTAAAAGGGTCATGTTTATAAAAGATACAGGTTTAAGGGTGAAATGGAACAATTATTCCATATTTGATACATGATATATCTGATAGGCCTGGGGTCTCCAACCTGTAGCTCTCCACCTCCTTCCAAGCAGCTCACCAGGGGATTTCTGAATTAAATATATTGTGGATAATAAGTCAAATTTGATTAATTACCACTGTACACGTATCATTTTGAAGCCTAACTTGGTGCACCAATAAATGGATACTGTTTTTTTTGTTTTTTTTTAAGCATCTAACTATTCCCCATCTAAGGCTCGCCATGGCTTTTATATTTACTCAGTTTCTTTGTGACTGCTGAAATTAGTAGCTCTCTGGCATTTTTGTTTTGGAAAGGTAGCTCAATGGAGAAAAAAAGGTTAGAGACCCCTGTGATAGAGTAATCACCCTCTGTGGTTTCAAAAACTAAAATGTGAGAATTTGACCTTAATAGACACATGTTCCAGTGATGACCAATGACTGGAAAAAACTGTTTATTTATATTATGCTTTACCAATGTCCAAACTTGTCACCAAAAGGATTTTTTTTAACCTATGATTTAAGAATATTTAACAATTTAACCAGTATTTGCTGGGGTGAATTAGAATTATTTGCTTGTACCTGTACTTAGGGCAGTTTGCTCGTCACGTCTGGCTTCTCTCTGTACCTTGGAAATGTCTTCCCCGTTGCTATGGACTACCTTCGCTGTGCGGCTGGTTCTGTAAGTGACAACAAAATGAGACGTATACACAAAATAACACCTGGATAAGGCTTTAAATAACCATGTAATTAATTCATGTGAGTGGTGTCTCTTCTCCTCAGGGTCTGCCGGCGGCAATAGCCAGTTTTGCCATCGCAAAGAACAGATATGTTGCAGTAAGTCCCATTATTAGCATTAGTATTCTTGTTTTAATACATGTTTTTATTCATTTATATAGTTCTTTTGTTTTTTTATGCTAGGTTTCAGATTTCCAGGTGGTCTATGTTTCCACTTTTGCAGTGACGACCACATGTCTGGTTTGGTTTGGATGTAAACTCGTCCTCAACCCTTCAGCTGTCAATGTAAACATCAAACTATAAATCTTTATCCTCAACAGTAACTCCATGTTTCCTTTTCATAATAAATAAATCTCCAGTCATCACCTGCAGCTCTGCACACTTCACTCTGTCTATATCGTCCTGTCTATCTCATCTTTAAATCACATGTTGTGTCACTGATTTGATCTGAAAAATACACAGATAAACCCATGTTCTTCCCTGTGCTGTTTTTAGATCAACTTTAACCTGATCCTGATGATTGTGCTGGAGGTGCTGATGGCGAGTACAGTGATCCTGTCCGCGCGCTCTGCAGAGGACTGCTGCTGTCACAGGAAGGTGAGAACCGCACTCACAGATGGTTTATGTTCTTCATGTTTTTTATGTTTTTTATTCAGACTCAGAACACACTGATCCAAATTAGGGATGCACAAATCCAACTTTTTATGTTCCGATACCCATGTCGATACTTAGGCTTTAAAGGTGCATGGTGTAACTTTTCTGTTGACCTGCTTGTCGTCATGGAGATGTTATTGCTTTGCTTGGAATGTTCCATTTTATGACATTAAACACATCTATCTAAAATTTATTAAATATGTGTGTTTCTATTGCTCAAAATTACAACAATAATTCTCTGTGAATAGGGGCGACTCTCCACAGATCTGACCTGTAATGTAGCTTGTAGTTGTCTCTTTTGAGATAGATAAATTTAATCTCTACATTCGAGACAAAGCAATAATGTCTCCATGAAGACAAGCAGGTGACAAACAGTCCAGAAAAGTTGCACAATGCACCTTTTATTATCTGCCCATCTCTGATATCGGGGTTAAAAAACTTGTTTCTCTGGGGGCCACATTCGATCGTGATGGGGGCTGGGGTCAGGTCAGTCGTATAACAGAGTTGTATGACCCTGTCGATGCAGATTATATTCTTTGAAAAACGCCACATTTTCTTTACATATCAGACAAACTGCATGGTCCTTACACTGAACAAAAAATAATAATCGGTCGTCCACAGTTCTTTGAAAACTCAGCACTCTGTCAACCTTTCATACTTTAACACTCGCCATTTCGCTGTCCTTAACTGCACTACAGAACTCTGCAAGTACATTGACTCTCAGGCTTGTCAGGTGATGAAAAGTTGGAGGCAAATGCAAATACATTATATAATTATTTAAATATAAATACTTAATATAAATATCACTTTATAAGGGCTGGAGTTAGCCCGTGGGCCTTAGTTTGATGACCCCTGCCATATATCAACAAATACTAGAGCAGACGCTGAAAATTTAATACATTGCCTTTAAACACAAACAGTATAAGGTAAAAAAAGTAAATAAAAAATGTAAATACCAACACAACAGCTTGTGAAACTACAAGTGTAACATTATGAGATGTTTGGGGCCAACATTGAAAATCGTCTTATTACACCATTTTATAGATCACAATGCGATATCAGCTGAACAGATACCTCGACAGAAAAGTCGATATCTAATCCACCAGAATACCAGTATCGTATCGGTGCATCCCTGATCCTAAATAAACCTAATCCACCTGTGTTCACCTTCTAGTCCGGGACCTATGATCGATCAAGGGACAAACCTGCGAGATTTCCCCGGAGACTCCTCAAAGCCTATTCTGTAAGTACAATGTTCAAGGACAGAGGATCAATTAGAGAAAAAAAAAACAAAAACAAAAAAAACACAGGCACTCCTAATTAGATAATGTTAAGATAATTAATTAGGCTGTTCTATCCTGATTTAGGGGAAAAACATGAACTGTCTTGTTGTATCTAAATTGCCTGTCACAGTCCGTTATCACCAGAGGGAAATTATTGCCAAGTGTCTCACAGGTTCGACTACTCATTTTACTAAAGATCATTAGGTTTAAGAATTTAGTTATGATTTTTTAGGTTTAAAATTTGGCTTCCTGTTTGGAAATCATGACATCACGCTAGGGAATTTCCAACTGTTACCTAGCAAAAGAGAGAGAGAGATGCTTTATTGATCCTGAGGGAGATTTAAGTTTTACTGTTGTAGTTGCTGTAGCTGCAACATTTACACCTGTGTCTCAGTCAAAAGTCCTTTCGTTTACACAGAAATTATGATTTGACAAATAAAAATGTAAGAAATAAGGTTTATAATATCAGAAAAATGCATTTCTTGCATCTAGAACTCTGCAATCTCTGTAATTTTCAACATATTTTTCTACTTTTCTTCACAAATTGCCTCTTGATTGTGTGTACCTTTCGAGTGCACACTGAAATTACGCTTATTTATCGCTATAGAAACAGCAGGGGCCAAGTTACATGTCAGATCTGCGTAGAGGCGAGCTCACTCACACTATGCAAGTTTTTAGGTCGATAAAAACTCAGGTTATTGACTAAATGCAAGATGGATATGATTAATGCCATACCGGGACATTCCAGACAAAGCAATAACGTCACCATAGAGACGGGCAGATGAGGGACACTCCACTAGAAAAGTTACACAGTGCGGCTTTAACCTCTAATCACATATGCGACAGGTGATTGAAGTGATTGTGGGGATCTCCGCCGTGTTTGGAGGGATCATTGCTCTGAATATGGATGCTCTGCTGCCGGGGCCTTACCTGTCCGTCACTTTCTTCTGGATCCTCGTGGCTGTGAGTAAAATCAATCAGAGTCTGTCCTACACACACACACACACACACACACAAACGCACACACACACACACAAACACAGACTGAGGCTTTGTCAGTGATTTTCTGCTTTCTCATGTATGTCACAGTGTTTTCCCAGTGCTATCGCCAGCCATGTGGTCTCTGAATACCCCAACAAATGCCTGGTAAGTTGTAACTAGATCCTCAATCCCATTTAAAGCTGCACTATGTAACTTATCACCACTGAGATTGGATTTCATTGCTTTACCCAGACTGGTCCACAAAAATGACATTCAAACATATGTCCTGTACTCCAAAGCAAAAGGAATGATTTCGCAAAAATATTATCTAAAATAAAATTTTTAAAACTGTTGAACAGCCATCGGAGTGTGCTATGCATTTTTTATTTTTATTTTTTTGCATTTTATGTTTTTTACTTTTAAGGAGTTGCTTCTTGCATTTGCACCTCTATAAGGACTTTGGTACGTGTTTTCTTACTTATAGAGGGTGAAAAACCCCTGTCCAACCTTGAGACGATCCAACCACAGCCGTTAAATTTGTAGCACATGTGCCTCAAATGCAGAAGACATCTCTGCTTGAAAATTCTTGTAACCTTCAAAACAAAATATAACTTCTTCTACATGAGATGAATAAGACTTTGGTGCTTTGGTTGCAATATCCTTCCATTCATCCATTCATTTTCTTCTGCTTATCTGGGGCCCGGTCGCGGGGGCAGCAGTCTAAGCAGGGACTTCCAGACTTCCTTCACTTCACTTCCTCCAGTTCTTCCAGGGGGACCCCAAGGCATTCCCAGGCCAGCTGAGAGACATAGTCCCTCAAGTGTGTCCTTCCCTGGGGCCTCCTTCCGGTGGGACATGCCCAGAACACCTCCCGGTCAAGGTGCCCAGGTGGCATCTGGAGCAGATGCCCGAGCCTCAGCTCTACTCCAAGCTCCCGCGGTGTGACCAAGCTCCTCACCCTATCTTTAAGGGAGCACCCAGCCACCCTTAGCAATTAAAAGATTTTATTAAATAAATGCAACACAGGTTGAATGTGATAACTCTGTGGAGACAAGCAAGTGACCTCCACATGAAAAGTTCTGTAATTTATAACTTTTCTTTTGGAGGGTTTGTCAAATGCTTTTCTCCAAGGAGATGTTATTTCTTTGTCTGGAATGTTTCACGTATGTCAATAAACATTTCTAACTAAATCAAGTTACAGGTCAGGTCTGTGGAGAGGTAACCCTGCTCACAGTCAGAATGCCTGTTTTTCTCTGTATTTTTGAGCTATAAAACCACCTGTAATTGAGTAAATGTAAAGTAGAGCTGTTTAATGTCATACTGTTGAACTTTACAGGAGGAGCAATGACATACATATTCATAGAAACAAGCAGGTGACAGATCTCCAACCAAAAAGTTACATAGTGCACCTTTAAGAATACTAATTTTCAACTTATTAAACTTTGACTTCACTTAATTTTAACTTGTGTTCCAGGTTGAGGTGTTGATCGCCATCAGCAGTGTCACGTCCCCCCTGCTGTTCTCCGCCTCGGGCTTCCTGTCCTGCAGCGTGATCAGCTTCATTGAGATTTTCTTGTACGATGTGCCCACGGCGAAGGTGATTTTAACGACCAAACCTGGCATTTCCCCTCTATCTGTTCAGCCCTGACCTTTTCTGAGATGAGATTACGACACTTTTCAGTATAGCACATCTACCTGAAGCTCAGATTTAACTTTTTTCTGTTTTTCAGCAATCTTATGACATCCTGCTTCTCATTCTGATGGTGCTGCTGCTGGTGCAGGCAATTTTAACTTCAGCCACTGTGGTGCACTGTGCTTCATACAAGAGTCAGTTACGCAGGAGACCAGAGGAGTATGAGGAAGGGCACGAAAATACACAATACTGTGAGGTAATAATAACTAATCAAGTCTAGTGGTAGATGAAGGTGTGAGAGAGAGATAGGTCATAAAAAATAACATCAGCTATATATTGGTTATCTTTCAATGTCAGAACTGTATTTTTAAAGGTTCTATATTACACAAAATTGAATCTTGTGAGCTTGAAGTGTTATAATGTTGTCACATCAAAACAGACCTGGAGTTGTGTTTTGTTTCTTTCACACGTTTGAGTAATCCTTTATTATTAGTCTGTCTGCATGTCCAAAGCACAGACTGTTCAGTTCCATCTTGTCCGAGGTAAAAATAAGTGTAGTACTGAAAAATTGTTATTAAGTAAAAGTACTATCTTTACTTTGCTAAATTAAAGTAAAAGTAACCATCTAAAAATCTACTTCAGTAAAAGTGAAAAACTACTTCATTTAAAATATAATTTGAGTAAAAATGACTTAGTTACTTTCAATTATTTGATGTAAAAAATGATGAGTCATAAATATAATTCAGCACAAATTGTTTTAATCAACTTTAAAGTAATACAGTGCAAACTTTGTTTAGTGCAAACTTTGTACATTTTAAAAACAATTGAGCTAAACCAGGACTATACCAGGACTAAACCAGGACTTTACCCTTGTATACTATACCAAGTCTAATCCAGCCAAGCTGATTTCATAGGTACTGAGTCTGCTGCACAAGCAGAACTAGAAACACAAAACCATGATGACCTGTGGGACGTTCCTTTAATTCATTCATTTTGTCACTTTTTTTTTTTCTTTATCAAGTCTCATTTTACTCAGTAACAAGGGTGGGTTCCAGTAGTCTGATTCATCAGCTGGTTTCATTTCATGGAAACCGTCTGACCTCTCAGCATTAGGATTCGTTTGTTTGATGGTAGGCAAGTACTTTTTTTATTCAGTCAATCACTGTTAATTGGTCGTGACGTATGTAATGCACCAAATCCCATAGAAAGAAGGACAGTAATGTCTTTCCCCTTGATAAAATTCACCAAACATTCTTTTTGTTCCAGCTTTAAGTTCTCGACCTTGGGAATTATTGCCAACACAGAATGTATGGCTCGTCTACATCCATCTGTCGCTAGAGAGAAACAAAATTGAGCGGAGGCACTAGGTGGACGCCAGCCTGGCTAGGGTTCCAATGTAATGAAGTAAAATACTTGGGTCAAAATGTACTCGAGTAAAAATAAAATGACCTGTTTCAAAAACTACTTAAAAATGATAAATTACAAAAACTACTTGTGAGAAAATGTAATTCGTTACTTTCCACCCTTGCACCTTGTGATGTCATGAAGCAGTTTTCACTTTTACCTTTAGTTCTATAGAGATAGGTGAAAGGTCTGAAATTATCCAAATGATTCTAGTGAAGGTGTGTGGAGTTTAAAAACACAGTGGAGCACTTCCTGTATTATCACATGACATCACAAGGTGGATCAGTGTTTTCTGTTTGAGAGACAAACTCAGCCTAAACATGCAGGGTTTGTGTGTTAAACGTGTGTGAATGAAACAAAACACAAATCCAGGTCTGTTTGTGATGAGGAAACAACATTATAACACAGTTCCAAAAAAACAGTGTAATATGGGCCCTTTAAAAGTACCTGGCTGTTCATTCTCCACACCTCATTTACCTTCATTTTGCTGTGTTGCTTTTTGGCTGCTTCTTCACGCTCCCCATGTCTTATCTTTTCTCTTTCTCCCCCCTGGCTCCTTATCTTGTTTGGCTCCCTCTCAGCAGCCGGCATCCAACGGTCCACTGCAGGATTTTGACAAAGACAGAGCCTGGAAGGCAGTTGTGGTCCAAATGGCTCACTGAGCACTCCTATGGAACACAATAAGAGGAGGAACACATAAATCTCAATACTTCAACCTCACCTGGGGGAGACAAATGACCCCAGAGCACATACCTGCACAAGCACCATGGCAAAAAGAGGCATAGGCCATAAACTGTATACAGAAGTGGACTAAAGGAGTGTGACATAGAGTTCAGCTCCAGTCAAATGAAGCTCATGAGGCTAGCAGTAAAAGGGGTGAATTTGAAGCCAATTGCCTTATTAGGAATAGGAATTTATTTACAATTAAAGACAAAAAAGCTAAATAAAAACACAAGGATCATGTAGAGCGAGTTAATATGAACATTTTAAGACCAAAATGACAAGGTTCACTGCAGCAGTAGTGGTGACAATATTCAATGTAAAGTCAATTGGAGCCAGAGGTGATGGATCCCGAAGCGCGCCCATGCACACTTTCTATCTGTAATGCGATACCTAGCGGCAGAGTTGTGTCTTGGATTCGAGTCAGACTTGAGTCACTATTTGTAGGACTTGAGACTTGACTTGATAAAATGGACTGAGACTTGGGACTTGACTTGGACTTGAAGGTCACTGACTTGAGCGATGTTGAGAAAACTTGATGCTTCTCCTAAAAATATATGTTTATAGAAAATACTTTTCTCTTTACAGTTGATAAATGTGGTGATTAATTTTACAGGAACAAACTGGAACATGTCCTTCCCATTTCTCAGTTTGATACTTTAGATGGAACTGAAGTACTGTGATGTGGTATTCTCAAAAGTACTACAGTAATACACAGTACAATACAGTAAAACAGAGAGAACTACACAGAGCATGACCCCTCCATTTCTCTGCAGACTACATGATAAAATATTTATTTTATTAAGCACTTTTAAATCTTTATTCTTTTTATTCTGACTTTAATGATTCGCAGTTAGATCTTGTCAAGACATTTAAAAAGGAAAAAATAGCACTTCCACAACTTTCATATAAATACTCATATAAATATACCATGACTTTTTGAGTAGAATTTAGTTTAAAAGTCACACACACACACATATATATGTTTGTTTTTTCATCTAAGCTATATTTGGTACTTCTTTGGTTTAAAGACTTGAAATGACTTGAAGCAGACGATTTGGACTTGACTTGGACTTATGGTCCAGTGACTCCAGACTCGACTTGGACTTATCTGTATTTGACTTGGGACTTCACTCGGACATGAGGTCAATGACTCGAGACTTAATTGAGACTTGCAAAACATTGACTTGGTCCCAGCTCTGCCAGGCTGGGTCATGACCTTCAGGTGGGTCGTAAGATATTTTTTGGAGGTCACCTTGTCACGATCTGCATGTAGGTCTGTGATATACAGTTCTGACACATGAGAGAGTTGGTGGCTATTTTGTTCCAGTATTGCTGGTTCAATTGAATCTTGAAAAGAAAAAGAAATGGGCTTCATTTAATGTCCAAACAGGCGACTTATGGATCCTTTTACTGCTGGTCCAATTACAGTTTTTCATTGTTTAAAACGTGAAGTAATACTAATGGTCCAGAGACACACGATCACTCAGTCAACAATAAAATATCCTCATTAATGTTCAGTAATGGTCACATCCATATTTATTTTGTGATTTATGAATAATGTCTATTGACTTGGGTCTTGAAAGTTTGTGACTCCTAAAATATGAGTCCCTGGAAACATTTTTTAGGAAGCACTGATGTATACAGTCTATGATCTAGGCTGAGGTTTCATTTTGATATTTGTAAAAATGTTTAGATATTAATTATATAGATTTTTGTCCTAATGATTGTTATTTATAGAGCTCAATGGAATAATTCTTAAATCTTAAATGTAGTCTATTGTTTTAATTAAATAAATCTATTGTAAAAACACACACACACAACTGTACAGTGTGGTTTTGGGCTGGCTCAATCTGGTTTTATCCAGTGGGGTAAATTGTTAATTGATTATTGCATTAGGCTGCACTCTACGGGGAAAGCGCGTGGTTCTTTGACGAGGAGCCGGTCTGAACCATTGTGCGTTTTTGTTGGATAATCCCGTTCGTCGTGCGTCTTGGGTACCACCGCTGGGTCAAATGCAGATGTGGAGACGCGCACCCCGCATTAGCTCATAGTTGTTTCCGATGAGGGAGCTGCAGGGAGGGCGAGGCGGGCGGGAGGAGCGCGGAGAAAGGCGGAACAAACCGGTCCCGGTGAGCTCCGTAACATGCTGCCCGCACTGCAGATTAACTCTTCACGCGCCGGGGCTGCTGCTGCGGGAGACACGGTGAGTTGCAGTTTCACTTCTTTTACCGCCGCATGCACGTGTTTTTTACGCCGCACAAGGACGCCCAAACACCGGCTCCCCCTCTCTGGAGACGAGCGGGGGACGGACGGACGGACGGCTCGGTGCCCACTGACCGCGCACTCAGCAGAAGAAGCAGATCTGGAGAGGAGGACGCGTCGGTCACTCCTCATCCTCACACGCTGAAGCACTCATATAAGCTCATTTATTTAGCTTTTCTCAGGAGCTGTCCACTGTTATGGTCCTGAAACGCTCCTACGTTGCCTGTGAGTTGCAGCAAAACCTTCAACCATTTATCCTTCTCAAACGCGTAAAGGTGTCATAAGCTCACACTGATTGACAACCTGTTAATTCACAGCCGAGTAAATACAAGAATAGTCCTATGTTTGCGCACGTTCTTCATTTTCTTCACGAATCTGTAGTTTACTTTTCGCTTCATGGGCAAATTTTTAACCAAAGATCCACGTGGTTATAAAATATGTTACATAAAAACATGAGAATGAATCAAAAAATGTCTCTGTGAAGTGAGCGGGAAGCCATTCTCTAATTAAACATGAATGAAGGAGCTGTATTTTTGGAGGTGTCTTCATCATTACAGAGTAGGAGTCAGCGAATGTTGGTTCCAGTCACTGGGTTTTCCATAAAAGCTGTAGTTTTTGATCTAAAAGCAACTGAAAATGGGTTTACGTTTGGATAATTAAAAGTTAGTTTGTAAAATCTTTGGTTAAATCTGACATAGGTACGTTTATAATCACCTAAATATAATGTATAATGAAATGTCACTCACAATGAATGCATTAATCCTCTAATTTCTAAATAACATTTGCGCATTTGAAAGTAAAATTAAGAAGAAAAGTTAAATTTTACTGTATTACACAAAATTGTAAGCTTTTATTCATGTTGGAACTAGGGATGTAACAATAACTGAAATATCATGATATTGTATCGTCAAAGTTGTCACAATAATATCGTGGACCATCACAAAATATCAAATTACAAGTCTTTGCTTAAATTAAGAGTTATGGTGCAGCGATAGCTAAAACAAGACAGAGGGAACTACATAGACCATGATCCTTTGCTCCATTTCAGTGCAGATTACAAGAAGAAATAACAGTTCTAAGCACTTTTAAGTCTCAGTTCTTTGGATTAAGTCTTGTCAAGGCATTTGAAGAGGAAAAAAATATCGCAATAAATATCGTACCATGAGATGTATATCGTGAAAATATCGTACAGAGAGATTTGGATATTGTTACATCTCTAATCGTGAGCCTCCCCACCATATCATGAGCTTTCCCACGATATCGCAATAAATATCGTACCGTGAGTTTCATACCGTGACGATATCGTATCATGAGACTTGTTGTTACATCTAGGGGTGTAACGATATCCAAATCAGGATGATATTTTCACAATATGCATCTCACGGTACGATATTAATTGCGATATTTTGGAGAAGCTTATATAAATATAATTGTAGATAGGGAACTATTTTGCTTTTAAAACACCTTGGCAAGATTTGGTGTGAATTATTACTGCGATAATCCCAAGAATTCAAGTCAAAAACATATTTCTTCATGTAGTCTGCACTGAAATTAATCATGGGATATGTAGTTCTCTGTTTAAAAGTTTTGCTACTATAAAACAATACATTCAAGTAAATAAACTTGTAATTTGATATATTGTGACAGCCCACGATATTATTTTGAGACTTTTTACGATACAGTTATTGTTACATCCATAATTAGAATGTTGTTACTTCCTCAAAAACATACCTGGAGCTGTGTTTTATTTGTTTGATTCACACATTTTTGAATAGCGCTTTACAAGTCAAATCCTCAAAAATGCCACTTTCCACTTTGGAATGTCATGTAGGAGAAGTTCATAGCTATTTTTATCTTAAAATAGAACAAATGGCTGGCAAGTCCAGGGCTGAAATCATCCAAGTGATTCTAGTGAAGGTGAATGGAGTTTAAAAACACAGCAGAGCACATTCTCAGCCTAAATATGCAAGATTTATGTGTGAAACGTGTGAATGAATAAAACAAAACGCAACTCCACGTGTGTTTGTGATGAGAAAACAACATTATAACAGCTCAGAAAATATCGTTAAGGTTAGGAAAGGGTTTGATCTTGACATAACCTTTTGTAGATGGAGCTCTGATGCTTACAGGTACAGATTCTAAAATAGCATGACTCCCATTTTATCTTACGTGCAGTGGAGACATCTGACTTAATTTAAGATGCATGCTCTGTGCGCATCCATAAAACCCTCTGACAGTTTCATGTGGGCTTAGAATACCTAATTAATCTTTATGGAAGATCATCAAAGATACAGGTTTAAATGGAGCTACCAGCAGTTAATGCAATTAATCATGTCTAATCTGGCGTCTTTATTCAATGACTGTTGATTTTACAGAGAACGCCTGCGCTGAGAAGAGATACGGTATGCACTTTTGTATCAACAATAACAGTGTTTTCTGCTTTATCACATCAAATTGATTTCTTAAGGGTCCTATATGTTACACAAAATGGATTCTTGTGAGCTTTATGTCATGTTTTAACCCTCTCCAGGCAGGTGTTGCAGATTTGCAACAGCTAAATGCCAATTGCCTACGTATTCCAAATCCATATTTTATGAGCTTTTTTTAAAATCAGGAGCCTTTTTTCCCATCCATGCTGATAAATGTGGACGATGCAGACTGTGCAAGAACGGCTACACACAAACGACCTGCCAGAAGTGCAAAGTTATATTGTAGATAGTTTTTTTGCTGTAGATTTTTTGCTTTTAAAATACTTTGACAAGATTTGGTGCGAATTATTACTGTCACAATCCCAAGAATTAAAGTAAAAACATATTTCTTCATGTTGTCTGCACTGAAATGAATTATGGGATATGTAGTTATTAGCTTTTGCTACTATAAAACAATACATTTATGCAAAGAAACTTGTAATTCGATATATTGTGACAGCCCACGATATTACCCAAACACACAAAATGGGCAATAAACAGGTCAGAGAGAAAGAAAAACTCAAATAAATCTGGAAAAAAAAAGAAAAGAAAGCAGGCATGGTAATATGACCGGACACAAAACCTGTATAAATCAGCTGACCAGACAAGTCACAGGAACATCACATGACCACTCTAGTGAGCAGTCGAAACTGTCAAGTATGAAAACAAACTCTTGGTCTGAAAAAAGAACCTAATAACATAAATTATCAAAAGACCAAATGAACCTCATTGGACTAAGGTTATATTTTATTTGTATGCCTGTAGCTCAACCTCACTCACATTGCAGGCATTCCATGTTTAACCAGCTTCACCCTGACCTGAATCTTCTGTTTTAATTTGGAAATTTTTGTTTTTTGTATTTCAGAAAAGGACGGCCCAGAGCTGTACTCAAATGAGGCCTGTGTTATTACTCATCCACTGGCAATCACATCTCTGGAGACCACAAGGACACCAACTAAACCAACCACAGGGAGCGCTACATCACAGAACAAGAAGGTTTCCAGTTTGATGAAAAAACTCTTCGCATTTCTTTGAGTGGTGGTACTTCTGAGGATGGCTCTCTTAGTGCTCACACATGAAATCAGGCTCTGAGTGCGTCCTGTGTGACTGCTGCGTGTTCACCTACAGTGGGGGTTAGGCTCAGAGGGCTGAAGTCCTGATGCAGAACCTTCTCGATCAGAACTTAGACATGGCCACAGCTCTACTTGCAGGAGAGAAGCTGAAGGAGCTGATCCTGCCAGGCTCCTCTCAGGATGAGAAGGGCGGGGCTCTGGCGGGACTCATGGTGCAGCTAAAACTGGAGCTGCCTTTTGATCGCGTAGTCACCATCGGCACAGTCATCATCCCCATCCTGCTCGTCACGCTCGTCTTCACAAGGAATTTTGCAGGTGAGAAGGTCGACCACTAGAGGGCTCAAGTCCACTGATCAGCAGCTGCTATACTTGATACTGTAACACAGCACAGTTATAATTACAAAACAAACACTCTGGAGAAACATATTGTTTTCAGATTATAATAACAGCACTGGGTGATTTTTTAAGTGCAATAAAATTATTCTTTTGTGAGCTAAAGTGGTGTAACATGAAGCTTAAATCATAAAACTAGCAGATATTTGATACGGAGTAATTGGTTTGGGAGGAGAGAATCCGATGGATGGGAAAGACACATTGCTGAGTCAGAGTCTGCAGCAGCTGCAGCAACCAACTGTGACTAGGCTTAACAGCAGTAAGATGTGGGAGTTATGGGAACAGTTTATTACGAAAAACATCAAAACAAAAACAACTTTTTTCTTTCTGTTTAGAGGAATCCATCTATTGTTACACACCGCACAATTTCACCAGAGACCAAGCACTGTACGCCCGAGGCTACTGCTGGACGGAGCTGCGCGACGCTGTACCTGGAGTGGAGCCTCACCTGTGGCCTTCACTGTTTGAGCATAAATTCCTGCCCTACGCTCTGCTGGCGTTCGCAGGGATCATGTATATTCCTGTACTGGGCTGGGAGTTTCTCGCCTCCACACGGCTCACTTCAGAGCTCAATTTCCTGCTTCAGGAGATTGATAACTGCTATCACCGAGCTGCTGAGGGCAGAGCGCCAAAGATCGAGAAACAGATCCAATCCAAAGGACCTGGAATAACAGAAAGAGAGAGAAGGGAGATCATTGAGAATGCAGAGAAGGAGAAGAGTCCCGAGCAGAACCTGTTTGAAAAGTATTTGGAAAGACGAGGTCAAAGTAACTTTCTGGCTAAGCTTTATTTTGCACGTCATCTGGCCATCATCTGCCTCAGCTCCATCCCCATCTCCTACCTGAGCGCGTACTACGCCCGGCAGAGACAGAATGAGTTCACCTGTGCTCTGGGGGAGCCTCCAGACATCAGCAGCTATCCTGAGCTTAAGCTCAAAGTAAACTGTAAACTGCCTGCTGTGCAGCTGCAGCGCATCATGGCCGCTGTAGACATAGCTCTGCTCTGCTCTGTCAACTTCATTATTCTGTTAAATCTGTTAAATTTATTTGTCGTTCGCAAATCAAACTTTGTGTTTGACAAACTGCATAAAGTAGGTATCAAGACTCGAAAGAGCTGGCAGAAATCTCAGTTTTGTGATATTAATATTTTGGCCATGTTTTGCAATGAAAACAGGGACCACATCAAGTCACTGAACCGACTGGACTTCATCACTAATGAGAGTGACCTGATGTATGACAATGTGGTCCGGCAGCTGCTAGCAGCGCTGGCTCAGTCCAACCATGATTCTACTCCAACTGTGAGGGAGTCTGGAATACAAACTCTCGATCCCAATCTGGACCCTTCAGACCTCGGGGTGGGAGAGCTGGGAGGAGAGCCTCTGGTCATCAAACGACCTCGCAAAAAAATAAAGTGGATTCCATCTTCAAATCCACTCCCTCAACCATTCAAGGTAACACTTCCTGAGTGAATGAGACTAATGCACACAAATTATTTTATTTTATTTCGAACTGTGTAATGGCATTTGTAGGACATGTCTATGCCCAGTAGTTAATTCTCATCAAGTATCGTTTATCTTCTATTCAGACACTTTCACAATTTATTCTACTTTTGCACAGGAGCCCGTTGCTCTGGCAGGTTTACAGAGCACTGCAAAGCCTGAGAAACCCAAACCTCTGAGACGAAAGACTGTTGCAGACAGCCTCATTGCACCACTTCTTGATAACAAGAGCACACACAACCATCCAACAAAAGGTTGTGACTTTATACGAGACTGTTGAAGGTTTTGGCCCAGAGATTGCAGTTGTTGGTAATATAATGTTATGTTCTATTTTACAGACCTGAGTGGAATGGAAAAGAAACACACTCGAAACTTCTCCCTGGATGTCCATCCATACATGCTCACAATACGTAAACCAAAAGTCGGCACCACTGCAGCTGTGCCTGTTCCCTCAGAGCACAGCATTGATGAAGTGTTTCTTGAAGGCACACACACAATTGTTCATGTTTCCGCTGGAATGACAGGTACATTTTGTTTTTTGCCCTTCCAAATCAGTCACACAGTTGTACTTTTTGAAAGGTAGTTTCTGAATATTTTAGTTTTCACTATTGCCTTTTCAGAGACAAAGATTTGCTCTCCTGAATCTACCACTACTGCCTTTTCTACCGTGACCCTCCCCACCAACACTTATGTAAATGGTTTGAGTCCAAACCCACCGTCCAGTGAAGACGCGCTCAGCCCTAAATCCTCCCCGTCTCAAAGGGACCCTCTTCCTCAGGCAGCAAACATGGAGTGTCTGTCTCCATCTCTCACCATTGCTCCTGCACACCAGCTTTTAAGTATTCATCATAATATGTTTGAGGAAGACGAGGATGAAGAGAACCGCAGGAGACTTGCAGAGAGACCAGGGGAACTCATTGCAGCAGGCGAATGTTAAAACAAGACTGAATTTTACGGAGCACTGTCCTAGCACACTTGACGACCTTGGTCTTCTATCACCTCTACCTTTTGACTGATACTTTTGTGGTACCTGACAGATGGATAGGAGTGAATAATGAAGAAATACTGCTGTGTAAGAGGTGTTTGCCACACAACACCAGAGCAGAAAGAACACATGATCTAGTGGCATTAATGACAGAGATCTAAGTGCTTATGAGGGAGATACTGTCACATGTCTCAGGATGACTGTTCTGATTATCACTTTTCTATAATACCAGCAGTCCTCATGAAACAGGGTGCTAACATGCAGGGTCAGGCACCCACATTTCCCTATTTGTTCAGTCACAATGCACTTAGCACACATAATTTTGAGTGAGTCCCTTTATCGCACTAGTCCAGTAGATAGGGAGCTGAATGCAATACACTCAAACCTGCACAAGCATTATGCAAAAGATCACAGTATATTTGTGGCAATAATATATGCGCTTACACGGCATCTAATTTCACAAAATGCTCTTTAGATAATAGTGTTTTTAGGATTAGACTATATGTAGGCTCTTGGGGCTTAAAATTTGTGAATACTCTTTCTTTAAACAGCACAAAATCTTCAATAATTCTTACAATAGACTATGGCAGTGAAGCAGGCACTTGTATCCTGCAGTCTGGTGGGTTTAGGCCTGTGGGTTTTGTACACACTGATCTGAGCTACAATGAGATTACCATGATGTCTGCCTCAGTTCACAATGCCATAGAGCCAAAACCTGCCAAGGTAGACTTAATTACAGTATTAGGCTTTGTTACGAACTGGCTCAAGGTTCGAACAATGGAGAGTCCACACATGTTTAAAAAGAATACAAAAATAGATATTTATTTAAAAACAAGGTGCAACTAAAGTTGTGGCTGCACGGTGAAGAGGAGAGAAGAGAAGAGAGTGAGCAGTCTCCAGCAGCCAGCTTTAAAGGTGACGGGCCACACCCACAATCAGGTGCAGCTTGTTATGTTGGCCCTCCCACTCGAATCTGAAAGGGAGGAGGAAGAGAGAGCCAGCAGCTGCACAAACATGCACCCACAAATACTGACCCAAGCTGGGGTTGTAACAGGCTTAAATATGTATCTTTCTTTTGTGTTGGACCAGTTTTGGGGAACGGGAGTATTAAAAGCACACAAAATGGCCTAAATATTTGAGAATGTGAAGAAAGTTCCACCAAAGTTAGGGTGACCAGATATCTCAGATTTGTTCATAACCACTGATTTGTTAAAAGTTTTATAAAAGAAATGTCCTGATTGTTGACCAATTTGGTATTCACTAACATTACAGGAGGCAATATGTTATTTGTTTAGCTCAAATTCTGAAAACCATGCTTGAAAATGATCACAAGGGAAAAAATTGGACAATGTTACTAATATATTTCACAATTTACCAAACATCCCAACTCGGGTGTGTCCCAGTGTCTTGGAAATCTGGTCACCCTAACCAGAATGGATCGTTGTTGTATTTAACTTTACTGCAAGTCTGTAATACAAAAAACCCACTGACAGCTTTGACAAAATAATAGAACACAGTCACAATTGTAACAGGTATTATTACGGATTTATTCACAAATAAAATAAACGGGAAAAAAAAGGCGTGTATTAAATGACTACATTACCCAGGGTGCACTGCGGGTGCGTGACGCTGCTGTTTGGGTGCCAGACGCTCACTTGACAGACGAGCTGGCTTCAGTAAGTACCACACGCGTTTCAGGACAGCTGTTTGGGGATCTGCTTTAACTTTTACACAGCACAGCAATTACTTGGTATCGTTTTATGATTTTCTAATGGATCTATAGATTTATAATTATGGTTCGCTAGTCCACGTTAGCTCTAGTTAGCAGCCAAGATTGCGTGCTAGCTAAACCAATGGAGACCGCACCGCGTTTACTGACGGGAAAGTAGCTCTTATGGTGCAATCCAGACAGCCAAGCGCTTACTACACATTAGAGCTCTTTTAATACATTTACGAACTACAGGTTTATTTTTTTCTGACACAATTATACCCTCTTTATTGACTGTCAATTAGCCAGACACGAAAACCTGAGTGAAGCAAAGCAGCGTCAGCATTGGTCCGCCTTGAACGCCTCACCGTAGACATATGTTTTGTTTTCTTTTTAGGTTCCTGGTTTCGAACATGGACCCGGGCAGTAATTCAGAGGTACGTGATGGATACTTTTGTAGTTTAAAATCCAGAGCACTTTAAAGTTTTAAAAAGCATGGTTCTGATAGTTAGACTGTTTGCTGTGCTCTTACAGGATGAGTTAGTTGGCCCATCGGAGGATGCTTCAGAAGAGGAACTGCCTTGCCTTCCTCCAGGCCTCTGTAAGTAACTTACTTTGTATATTTCTGTATAGGTTGTTTTATATATGTACAAATTTAACAAAATTAGTCATTTGTTTTTTGTGTTATTTTGCTGCTATAGTGTTTGCAAATAAACATGTTCTATATATTTTGCTATATACTTTGGTAATTATTATGCAATGCTATGCAGCAATCAAGATGATCCTCAGATAATCTTTCAGGTCTTAAGAAAGACTTAACAATGTCACAATTCTGAGCACATGTTTCTGTGCATTATTGCTGTAGTCTCTAGTGAAAAATCCTTGCTGATATTTTAGGCAACTTACTTTTTGAAAATATTTTGTAGCTGATGGAGAAGCCATGGAGCTCCTTTGGCAGCTGCGATCACGTCGGCGCCAGTTATCCCCAGAACTCCCAGAGACCGTCTCCCGTCTTACTGCCCCTGATGGCAGCACTTTGTACTTGGTGGGCACTGCCCATTTCAGTGACAGCAGTAAAAAGGATGTGGCTACAGTAAGTGCAGTGTGGTTTGTAATCCTCTACTTTAAATTGATGTGGTGAATTAGGAAGCAGGAGCTGTGATATAAAATCGATTGGTACAATCGTCTGGAATTACCAACCATGTAATCTGCAATTCCACGAAGAGAAAACTCTCAGCAGCAGACACACCTGCAGATTAGTTGACCACAAGACCAGCTTAGATTTTAAATTAAACACCATGTATTTGTCTCATTAGTACATCATCTGTTTGTCTCACACTTTATTTACATCACAGACAATCCGAGCTGTTCAGCCAGACGTAGTGGTGGTGGAGCTGTGCCAGTACAGAGTGTCTATGCTAAAGATGGATGAGAACACACTGCTAAAGGAAGCCAAAGACATCAACCTAGAAAAAGTTCAACAGGCCATTAAACAGGTACCGTTTAAAGAGACACATTTCTTTACTGTCTGTGCAATATCATACTTATTCTAAGCAAAGGTTTGATTTTGAATTATATTGAATAAACATACTCTCTGTCAGTCATTTTAATTCACTTAGTTTCTTTTCATCATTGTTTTGACAGAATGGGCTGATGTCTGGTCTGATGCAGATACTTCTACTCAAAGTTTCAGCGCACATCACAGAACAGTTGGGCATGGCTCCCGGAGGAGAGTTTCGGGAGGCGTTTAAAGAGGTACATCTAAAAATAAGATAGAATCAAATACAGATACATTATTTTGATCTGTTTTTCCTAACTTTTCAGGCCGGGCGGATTCCTTTCTGTAAATTTCACCTTGGGGACAGACCCATACCTGTCACTTTTAAACGGGCGATTGCTGCACTTAGTTTTTGGCAGAAGGCGAGGCTGGCATGGGGCCTTTGTTTTCTTTCAGACCCAATTAGGTATACATATTTTTGTGTATTGATACTTTGCAGTGACATCACTTTCGGGGGTTCCGCTAGTACATGTGTATCTATGGTAGAATGTTCATCTGTTGCCATGGTGACAGTGCGCTTAGCACACACTGTCAAAACAGTTTTAAGATGGAAAACTCTAGAAAAAATACAAAATAGATTTAAATATTTTCAAGAGCCTGTGATCTATATGAGTGTTCATAGTCCTGTTTAGGTGTTTGATTTTCAACAAAAAGCTGAGAGTGAGTAACTGAAAAACTGACTAATGATGACTACCTTGTGACTGTAATTTTATATGAGAGTGAGTACAAATGAGCTCACCTGTTGTAGTTCCAACTAAATCAGTTATTTCTGATCAGATTCAAGTTTAACTTGAGCAACAGAGCTTGAGACAGAGCAGTGCTTACTGTTGGAACCACATCCCAGGGGCTGTTGATGACACCAGTTGCAAAGTATCAATTTTGTCAAATTCAGAATGGATCACCGGTTTCTAACACTCATTTGAACATTTTTAGTAAAGAAGATGTAGAGAAATGCAAACAGAAAGATCTGCTTGAACAGACCATGTCAGAGATGATTGGAGAGTTTCCAGCGCTTCACCAAACCATTGTGGCAGAGAGAGACATTTACCTCACTCACACACTCAGGCAGGCAACACGCTGTGTGGAGGCTCCCCCTAATGGCCAGAGTACGTATGCATTTTTGTAGTAAACTGTTAATGTTCTCTCATTTTCTGTACAATAAGTACAATAATCAGTATTCCCATCTGGTTTATACAGAGATTATGGACGCACAAATTTAAAACTTTTTCATTAAGCTTTTAATAAACTGAAAGTGAATTTATTTAATACAGTGTATGTTGTACCCATTACTCTACAGATCAAAAAAAGGACTCATCACAGAATAAGTATATTACCTTCTGTATTTTTACAATAATACTCCAAGCATTAAAGCAGAACTTTGATACATTTTGGTACAACTGGAATAAAACCGCTGCTTGTTAGCGTTATCTGCAGTTGTCCATCAGAGGGGCAGACTCTGTTGTTTACTGCAATTTATTTTTAGACAAAAATTTGATTATGGGGGACCGCCATAGTCTCCACTCAAAATGAGACACACTGATAATCTTGTTGTATTTGATTTTGCATCATATATACTGTAATTATCTGCTTAATGCTGTTTAGAAGTCCCTGGTGTGGTTGTGGGAGTCGTGGGGATGGGCCATGTCCCTGGAATAGAAAAGAACTGGGAAAAGGACCTCAACATTAGTGAAATCATGAGGTAAGAAATATAACTGTTTGAATATTCATGATGATGAAATGTGACTGATTTTTTTTTTACCCTGAATCTTTTCCTCAGTGTGGCGCCACCCTCTCGGTTTGGCTGGGCCCTGCAGGCCGTTTTTAAAGGCGTCCTGATGGGCCTTGTGGGGTACGCCTGCTATCGAGCTGGTGGGACTTTAGGCAGAACACTGATGTCTATACCTGCTGTCAAAGCACTAGTGGAAAATCTGAGACTGTCCCACGCTTGATCCCAAAGGTTTTCTTCTATCCGTCAGTGACAAATCTATATTAAAATGCATCTCTCACCAATAGCCTTACAGGACGTGTGGAGGATTTGACCAGTCGCTGCAGTGGACCTCAGGAGGTTAGATATCTCCTACCTCTGATGCTCTTGTAAACAGAGCAGTACTGCCAAATAAACCATGACAGTACTTTGAGCATTTTGCCAAAAATTGTTATATATTTTTTTTTTACTAAAACCCGGTTAGATTCATTTAGTTTTCATATGGGAGCCTTTTAAACATTATACTTATTATTTGTGAGCCACGGCTAAGGTTTGTCATCTTTACTTGGTGCCCATAATGTACTGGTGCTGCTTCAGTCATTTGCAGCACTTCATAGTTAACATGATTTGTATATGATGATTTAATAAATTCTGTATATTTTAAATAATAATATAAAACAGATACAACTATTACTGTTAATGTTGACCCACTTGTTGGTCTTATCAACAGCGAGTGCCTCATTTAGCTGCAAGGGCTGTACGAGAGAATCTTTATACGGTACAATGCCTCTTTCTACAAGAAAACGTTTGCTCTACAGTAATAATTTTTAATTAAATGGGACCAGAGCTGTTCCATGGTTTTATACTCGGTCATTGTCAGATCAGCACTATGCAAGACCTACAGTAAATGTGCCTCAGGTTAAAAACACATTTCTCTTAAACATTTTTCTCTGCACCTGTTCATTTGGACTTTTTATAAACTGGTTTCTGGTTTCTTGTTATATGCTTTGACTATGACCTAAAAGCCATCTGTGTATTATGAAATACAATGAGATTATGTGTAATAATTGTATACAATATGCAATAAATTCCCCAGAGCAGTTTTATTGAATTAAAATTTACTATGAAGTGTTTTTTTTTATGTTCATGATGAGTTGGCATGAGTTGGTTATTTTTTGGTGATTTTTATATTGTGTTTGCAAATATTTCTATTAACTTATTTAACTTTGATCAACATGTGGACAAGAAGATTCAATAAACTTTACCAGATGTACAGTATGTCAGATTTAAATTAATGCCAAATTCTAATATATAAATAATTATGCCTGACTATAAGTATAAATTACAAAGATGCCTTTTACCCAACTATGAATTGGTAATGAATTCATAGACTAGACACTCGATTTAATATTTAGCGAAGGTGGTTTCATTAGATTTTGAGACTTAGACAAACTTTATAGCTGCACAAGGGAAATTATTTGGACACACATCACAATATAATATAATAACAAAGAGTAAAAAATATAAATGGTAATAAATTCTAAATAGGTAGCAAAAAAAGATAGCAAGAGAGTAAAATAAGACAATTATATAAATGTATATGTACAAGTCAAAATAAAATAGAAAAATAAGTTATAAATTATAAAATCTCAGCTATATACAAGGATTAAAATTATACATTAGGTTGCCTAATATTTAATATTAAACCGAAAAAAATTAACTTTGTAAAAGAAAATGATGGTGGATGTGCTGTATTCTTTGACTGTACAGATATATGGAATATGAAAGATACAGGAATACATTCATACCATACTCCCTACAACTGTACAACTCACCCTTATGTAACAGATAATACTCCCTACAACTGTACAACAATACACCCTTCCTATGACCTCTTGTATAAAGCTGTGATTTTATATTTTATTACTTTTCTTTTTGTTTTATTTTTACTGTATATTTACATTTATATAATTATGTCTTATTTGACACCTGTCTCTTGCTGTCTCTTTTGCTACTTATTTAGAATGTATTATTACATTTATATTTTTGTTCTTTGCTATTATCTTATATGGTCATGTGTGAGCTGCTGTATCCAGATTTTTTTTTTTCAGAAAATAATAAGTGCCCTTTAAACAACAGTGCCTTGGATTTTTGTCTTTGGGACGTTTTAACCCTCTCAGGCTCAAATTAATTTTTAGTATCAGGAAAAATCTGATATTTGGGGAAAATTATCATATGTGGTAGTAATATATAATCCTGATTTTTTTAATCCTTTGTAAACAACAAAAGTACTTTGCACTTCTGGCAGGCTGTTTGCGTGTAGCCATGCTTGCACAGTCTGCATCTTCCATGTTTATCAGCATGGATGGGAAAAAAGGCTCCTGAGTAAAAAAAAAAAAAGCTAATAAAATATGGATGTGGAGTAAGTAGATAATTGGCATTTAGCTGTTGCAAATCTCCAACGCCTGCCTGCAGAGGGTTAACACACATTCTGCTACAGATTTAGGCCTGTCATGATAAGTAATAATAATAAATTAAGTCTATATATTGCATGGATCTATTAAAATAAGTAATATAATAAAAATAAAAATTAATTAATTAATTAATAAAAAATAAAAATAGCTAGAAAAAAGAAAAAAAAAAAAGGGGGGGGACTGGGAATTGAATCGTTGAAGTGCCTTTGTTTCCGGCACGACCGATTATAATGTAACACCGTGGTGTAAACATCCGGATTATGAAAGTATGACTTGAGAGAACTTTTTCTGAAATACGACGTTGTTCACAGATGGCAGAGGTTAAATGGCTTACATAGGACACCGGCTGGGCTCTCCGCGGTGTTTGCTCGTCGGTGTTCCCGTGATTAGGCGCCTTTGTTCGGTCGGTATGGCAGACATGGGGCTGGCGTGGAGTCAGTCCCCTCTGGAGCGACTCCCCTTCGACAACCAGGCTCTCCAGAAACTTCCCCTGGACCCGAGCGAGGACTCGGGGGTGAGACAGGTGAAAGGAGCCTGTTTCTCTCGAGTCAAGCCGCAGCCGGTGACTAAACCTCGCTTCGTGGCGGTCTCTCACCATGCGCTGGTTCTCCTGGGGCTCAGCGGGGAGGAGGTGCTCAACGACCCCCAAGGACCGGAGTACCTGAGCGGGTCCAAAGTGATGCCCGGCTCGGAGCCCGCTGCCCACTGTTACTGCGGGCATCAGTTCGGGCAGTTCGCAGGGCAGCTGGGGGACGGGGCGGCTTGTTACTTGGGGGAAATTAAAGTACCACCGGGACTAAACCCAGAACTTTTAGTGGAAAACCCGAGTGGTAGATGGGAGATCCAGGTGAAGGGCGCAGGACTGACCCCTTACTCCAGGTCAGTGTTTAGAACTATAAACCTGAGGGGTGTCCAAACATGAGTAGATATGTGTCACATTTAAGGACATTGAGAGTTTTAGGGTTAATAGTGTTGAATCATTAAGTTTTTATGGTCCTATATTGCATAAAATAGACTCTTGACCCATGTCGAAGCACTGTTTTCCTCCTCAAAATCGAGTTGTGTTTTGTTTCATTCACACATGTTTGAGTATTCCTTTATTATAAGTCTGTCTACATATCCGAGCAGGGTTCCCACAGTCATGGAATTTTTGTAAATTCAATGAAAGTAATGGCATTTTCTTATCTCTTTTGCGCAACTACATCATTCTGTTAAGTTATCGTTAGGTTATTATGATTATTTCCGAACGTCTGCACCTTTTGTTTAAAAGAGACGACAATAAATGCACTGACAGTATTTTGAATGTTAAAAAAACACCAAAAAACTATAATACCAAACCATAAGGTGAGAGAAAAGGGTTAACATTTTATATTTCGCCCTAAACGTCTGATTAATTCTCCACATGTAAGTGCTGTAAAGTCATGGAAAATTCACTTTAAGTCATGAAAAAGTCAGGGAATAGTTTTGAAATTGTGTCAGTGAAAAAGAGGGTCAGAATACTCTCTTTCACTTTGTTATGTTATGAAGCTAGCAGATACTTTTTGTCTTTAGTTTAGTAGAGATTGGCAATAACGGAAGAAATTATCCAAATGATTCTTGTGAAAGTGTGGAGTTTAAAAACATAGTGGAGCACTTCCTATATTACCACATGACATCACAAGGTGGAACAGTCTTTTATGTTTGAAACAAGAACTCGGCGTAACTATGCAGGGTTTGTGTGTTAAACATGTGTGTATGAAACAAAACATAACTCTAGAAGACTCATTTGGTCTTCTGATAATTTATGTTATTAGGTTCTTTTTGTCAGAACAAGAGTTTGTTTTCATACCTGACAATTTCTCAGATTTTTCAATTGCTCAGCAGCAACTTCCTCAGGACAGTGAGATCACTGTTACGTGACCACTCTGAGGAAGACCGCTGGTGAGCAGTCGAAATTGTCAGGTATGAAAACAAACTCTTGGTCTGAAAAAAGAACCTAATAACATACAACTCTAGTTATGCTTTTGATGAGGAAACGGCATTATAACAGAGGTCAGAAACAGCGTAATATGGGTCCTTTGACATAACAGCCTTAATATTTAGTTTAACTCTGTCTCTGATAGACAAGCTGATGGTCGTAAGGTCCTCCGCTCCAGTATAAGAGAGTTCCTGTGCAGTGAGGCCATGTTCTTCCTGGGAGTGCCCACGACCAGAGCTGGGTCTGTGGTCACCTCTGACAGCATGGTCCTCAGAGACATTTACTACAGCGGGCGCCCTCGTCATGAGAGATGCTCTGTGGTGCTGCGGATCGCTCCCACTTTTCTCAGGTAAATTGACCATTCCTGCAGCTGTTCCCCTCATTACTTTTGTTTCAGAAGCCAAGCTAATACCATTCTGTTTTACAGGTTTGGATCTTTTGAAATCTTTAAGCAGGCAGATGAGTTCACAGGGCGTCAGGGGCCCAGCTATGGACTCGATGAGATCAGAGGACAGATGATGGATTATGTCATTGAGATGTTTTATCCTGAAATACAGCAGAATTTCCCAGACCGCGTGGAGAGAAACGTTGCTTTCTTCAGAGAGGTTTGAGAACTTGTTTCATTATGGACTGAAGTTGAATGAAGTCAGATTAGTTCATTAGTTCATTCATTAGCCCTGGCCTTTGGATTGTCTTTATCCATTGTTGTAGATAAAAGTAAAGTAAATCCTGTACACTTTATGGCCAGAGCTCACAGCCTTATATGACACCAGCAGTTTTAACACCTCATAAAAGTTGACCTTGTGCTCCCTTCTGCAGGTGGTGCTTCGTACTGCTCGACTCGTGGCCCAGTGGCAGTGTGTGGGGTTCTGCCATGGAGTTTTAAACACAGATAACATGAGTATCCTGGGGCTCACACTCGATTATGGCCCATACGGGTTCATGGACAGGTAAAATATGTCAACAAACTGTAAAACTTTGTTTTATATTTTTCTAGGCAGGAAAAAATTAAATCCTCCATTTCATTTTGACTGGTAATACATTTCAGTGGTTATAATGTGCTTCTAATAAAATACATTTACCATGTAGGTTTGATTATAGCGTTTGTCTGTGCTTTCTTAGGTATGATGGTATTATGACAATATTTATTTAAAAAAAACAGTTGAGCTGTATTAGGTTTGGTATCTATTTATTAATGTATTTCATGGTGTTTATGAAAAGAATCAAATGTCTGCTTTGTTCTGCTCAGATTTGACCCGGATTTTATTTGTAACGCCTCAGACAACTCAGGCCGTTACTCCTATAAGGCCCAGCCGGCCATCTGCAGGTGGAACCTGGTGAAACTGGCAGAGGCCCTTGCTCCTGAACTGCCTCCTGAAAGAGCAGAGGGAATCCTTGATGAATACATGGACATGTATAATCGATTCTACCTGGAGAACATGAGAAGAAAGACAGGTTTACTCAAGAAAGAGGAGCCAGAAGATGAGATGCTGATCACTGAGCTCCTGCAGACCATGCATAACACAGGTAGTAATTAGCTCAAAATGTGTAAAAAGAAACTACTTTTTTATGTGGAGTACTTACTGACAACTCTTTCAGGTGCCGACTTTACCAACACATTTCGCTGTTTGAGCCAAATCTCCTGTCCCGCTGAGGGAGAAAATGAGGCGGAGATTATGAGACAGGCTACACAGCTTCTGCTTGAGCAGTGTGCTTCTTTAGAGGAGCTACAGGCTGCCAACAAACCCACTATGGACCCACGGTATGGATGTGATCAAATGATTATTTCTGTGTAATGATAATTCCCTGCAGACCTTTTTGTTAATCCTATTACACCATTTTAACTTAATAAGGATATTAAACATCGCTGATAAAATGTATTTCACTTCATGATATACAAAAACCCTGCTCCCAACATATATTTAGATCTAAACACAGATAAATGATTTATGATGCAATCATGTTTTTACCTTATCTTTACTGTCTTGTAAATATATTAAATCAAATCAGAGGCCATATCTATTAGCTTACCTCATGTCTGAACCTAGTGCGTTTATCTGTTGCACTAAAGCCTTTGTTTTGTTTTTGTGTTGTGACAGGGAGCTGGCCATGCTTTTGTCTCTAGCCCAGACCAATCCCGCGCTGTTCCAGATGATATCAGACCGAGCCACAATAGCCAGGCAATTAGATAAGCTCAGCAAACTTAAAGACCTGATGGAGTCCAGTGAAGAAGAGCTGAAAGAGAAGCAGGCGGGGGACTGGACAGCCTGGATCACACTCTACAGGTGGGGTCAAAATAACAGCTTTAATGCTAAGTTCAAAGAAGTGAGTGGGCGGTGCCAAAAGGGCCCATATTGCGTTACTCTCTAATCTAAGTTATACTGCTGCATCCTCATCAAAAACAGACTTGGAGTTGTGTTTTGTTTCATTCACACATTTTTAACTCACAAACCTGCATATTTAGACTGAGCTCTTCTCTCAGACAGAAAACACTCCAGCTTGTGATATCATATGTTAACACAGGAAGTGCTGCACTATGTTTTTAAAACTTTTAAAACTCATTTGGATGATTTCAGGCCTGGAATTTCCAATTGCTACTGAACAAAATGTAAAAGGTAGCTGTTAACTTGAAAACTACCACTTCATGACTGCATAGGGTAAAGCAGAGCATTTTGATCTTTGGAGATATAGGCAGCCTAATAATAAAGCATTACTCATACATGTGTGAATGAAACAAAACTTAACTTCAGGTATGTTTTTGAGCAGGTAACAACATGGCTAAAAGCTCACAAGAGTCGATTCTGTGTAATATAGGACCTTAGATTGTGGAGTTGTAGATGGCCAAAATCAGAAGCCAGGAAATGGGAGGTTGTTCTGTTACACTGTTATCACTGGTGCAGGAAGCGTCTGGGGAGAGAACTGGAAGGCCAGAGTGATGTGGCTGCTGTCCAGAATGAGAGGGTGAAAGTGATGGATGGCACCAACCCACGCGTGGTGCTAAGGAACTATATCGCCCAAAATGCAATTGAGGCCGCAGAGAGTGGAGACTTCTCTGAGGTACAGAAAATGCTGTTAATCATGTTGATTTATTCTTTAATATCTGAGATCTTTATCATTGCTATATATTTTTTGCGAACGTTATTTCATGTTTTATTTAATCAAAGTAATTGCTGAAAATTGTACGAATCAAATATTACTATATGCTCCCAATGGGCAACTAGTTTGGTTTTTGTTTCTTCAGTCAAAAGAAACCTACACTTTATTCTGCCAAAAAAAAAAAAAACCTTTAGAATCCAATTACCATATTTTTCGGACTATAAGTCTCTCCAGAGTATAAGTCGCACCAGCCACAAAATGCGCAATGAAGAAGAAAAAAACATATATAAGTCGCACCGGACTATAATTTGCACGTTTTGGAGAAATGTGTGTTATAAAATCAGAGACCAGGAACCGACATTACATCTTGAAAGGCAAGTTATAGTAATAACAACAGAACAGAAAACAACAGACTGTTAATATGTTAACAGTGGTACAGGAGTAATTTTAGTACTAGATACTGACACACGAGCCTAGAGCCTCTCGCACCTCTCAGTCTGAAAATTTTAATATATAAGTCACACCTGAGTGTAAGTCGCAGGAAACACCCAAACCATGAAAAAAAGTGCAACTTATAGTCCAAAAATATCCCCCAACAAATCTGAAAAAAAAAAAAAAGATCTAATACCCTAATACAGGACAGGCTGACCTAAACACAGCTGTTATTATGTATAAGGTTCATGGACATATGCTCCCTGAGTGTGTCCAGGTGACATTTAAACCCAGAGAGACTCGTTATAAGCTGAGCGGAACCAGAGTATATATAAAAAAATAAAAATAAGGCCAAAGGTAGATTTATGTCAGTTAGAGGAGTAGATGTCTGGAATAGTCTGGATGTGGTGTTAAATGAATCAACAATATCATCAATAAAGATTTTTTAAAATGTACAAATTTAATTTCATAGTCAATTATAAAGAGTAAGAATGAATTAAAAACAGTTGCTTGCCATATACAGAGAGAAGATAATAATATAGATACAGTAGGCTATAGATACAGGCCAGTGATTAGGGTTAATGTTGTGAAATGGATGATTTTGAAGGGAAATGTATTATTGTGACGTATGTGTTGAAGTTGGTTTATTCTCTTCTTTCCAACCAGTTGTTGCTTGTTGTTTGCTGAAGGCTGTGTTCTTGGCATCGTTTTGTAAACAGGGTTAGGCGTTCATATGTGTTTTCACTTCAGCCTGAACCCCTTCGGTCGTAGTTGTCGTGTGAAATTTTTGTATAATTCTATTAAATGCTTGACTGAAGAAAATAAAATCCTACTACTACTACCACTCGCCATCATAAGGCAAACAACAAACTCAGTCAAATGGAGCTGTGTCTCAAAGTTTTGCCAAATCCACATGCAAAATACTAGAAGCTACAAGGAAATACATGGAGGATACAAGACTCAAAATAAACATTGACCATTTCCTGTTGTGTTTGCCCCACAGACTGTTCTACTGTATAATCTGTATAATCTATGGTTTGGCCTGATGTTCTTTCTCTCTCTTTCTCAGGTCCAGAGAGTTCTGAAGGTTCTGGAAAAGCCCTTCACTGCACAGCCAGGCCTGGAGCTCCCAACGTGGTTCGGCAAATACAGAACCACAGAGGAGGGGGAGAGGGAGTACGGGGTGAGGGCAGAGAGGGCGCGGGAGGACGGGGAAATGGAAGAGGCGTCCACTTCCACTGTCAGAAGTGCTTTGCCCTATGACAGCAAGCCCCCCGCATGGGCACAGGAAATATGTGTCACATGATCTTCGTAAAGACTTTCTTGATGGTTAGCTGACCTGTTTAAAGTGCCTATGAAAGGTTGGACTCATTTTCACTAGTGAAAGTGAAGTTAACATTAAATTTAGCTAAAAAAAAAAAAGTTTAGCCATGTCTTAGGTTTCAAATTTTCATTAAATCATTAGCCAGGCTTGTGTCACCTAGTGACTCCACTCAATTTCATTTCTCTCCAGCGACTAGGTCAGGAATCAAAATACAAAAGACAGTTCGCAAAAACTCTGGAAGTGCAAGTTCGGGCACCAGCCAATCAGAGAAGAGCCATATATTCAGTGTTGTCAACGATTCCCGAGATTGAGGATTTAAAGCCGGAATAAAGAGAATGTTTGGTGAATTTCATCAAGGGGAAAGACGTTATTGCCCGTCTTCCTATGGGATTTGGGAAAAAGCTTAATATGCCAGGTAGACCCATTAATGATGCATTACATATGTCACGACCAAATAGCGATTGGTTAAATGATAAAAAGTACCCACCTACCGTCGCGCGAATGAATTCTAACACTGCAAGGTCAGACAGTTTGTACGAAGTGAAATGAAGTAAAACCAGCTGATGAATCAGGCTGGAAACTCATTATATCATGCTAGGGAATTCTACAACTTTTATCTATGGCAGCAGGTTCTTCACTGAGCCAAATATAAATATAGGAAACATCTTTATTTTGTTAAAATCATGTTTAAAATATCAGAAACAAATGTGTTTCTTGTGTAAATTGTGCCGAACCTTTAGATAGAATTCTCCCTAGTTCGATGTCATTAATGTGAAACTATCTAAAATATATCTCTCTACTTCACCATAACTATTTCAACATATTTTCAACTTTTCTTCACAAATGTTGGAAAATACAGGAAGGAAAGAGTTCTGTTTTAGAGAGTTCCACAGGGAGAATTCTGTGAATGAATGAACATTATGCAAAACAATACATTTTATGGTTGTATTGATTACAACCCAAAAAAAAAGGATTGAGCTCCAGCAAAAAGTTCAGCACAATTTACAAAAAAAAACACACTTTTCCAATATTTTAAACATTGTTTCAACAAAATGAAGGTGTTTTCTTAAATGTTTATTTGTCAGATAATAATTTCTGTGTACATTAGAGGAGTTTTGGTTGCCTGACAGTACCATTTTCTGTATATGTAATATTCAAGGAACTGGAGGGATGGCACTGCCAGGAAAAGTTTTGGCTCTGTGTATAAAAGGGTTGCTAGGTAATAGTAATGGATTTTTTTGTGTGATATCCAAAAAGGAAGTGAAATTTGAAACTTTAAAAATTGCTAAAGTCGAGAAAAAATGCTTATATTTAGCTAAATCGTAAATATAAAGATCGTAACTGTCTTTTATTAAATTGAGAAGTCCAACCTGTCAGAGGCGCTTTAATATAAGAAAGAGATGACATTTATGTTTACTCTTTGGCAGCCTGCCTCAAGAAAGTTATTTTGACTCAACAGCCCAGACAAAGCCTAATACAAAGCAGACAAGGGATACACTGGTGGGGCAAGAATCAATGCCAAAATTAAAAATCATTATTTATTTACGTCTGCCTGTGACTAATGGATAACATATGTGAGGAATGTGTTGTACGAAACCAAATCCGTGTCTGTGTGGTATTGACGAGCTCTAAATGATGAGTCAGACACAAAGTCCTGAAAAGAACTGGTCTGATCCTGAAGGTCTGGGCTGTTTGAGTTTGTTGAGTTTCTAAGGGAAAGAGGGACTCGGTGACTGCAGTTTTAAATGGAATAATGGGGAAAAAATAGCTGCAAATATAAAGACGCACAATGTAATAATAATAATAATCTACTTTAAAGGTCCAATATGTAATTTTTCTCATGGAGGGTCCGTCAACTGCTTGTCACTGTCGGGATGTAACTGCTTTGCTAAAAATTTTCCACAGAATGGCGTCAAAATTATCTGTCAAGGAATTCAAGGAGTTGGAGACAAGTTACAGGCCAGATCTGTGGAGAAACGCCCTCACTCACAATAAGAATGGATGTTTTTCAAGGTATTTTTGTCAATAAATGCCATATTGGAGGTCATTGTAATGCCATACTTTGGAATGTTTCAGGCAGATAAAGAGGCGGATGGGCCCTCTACCAGGAAAGTTACACAGTGTACCTTTAAACATTTGTCTTTACCTCTTAAATGTTTTGTCTATGTAGCAGATATATTTTAACAAATGTAATTATGTTTTAGTTTTTAGCTTTTACGCGGCGCTGGTATTCCTGTATAAATTTCTAATGGAATAAACAAAGGGGCTGCCAAACACAAGGGCTGGTGCTTTTTGTCTGCATAACTTTGTGTATTTAAACTCCTGAAGCCCGCAGCTGAGTCATGTCTCTACAAGCTCCAAATATTCCTGTTCACAGGACGCAGCCACGAGTCCCCAGTGAACTCCATCTATGGTAAACTGTGCCAATACGCACTGTTTTTGAACTGGATTACATATCATTTCAGGTGGTGACTATTACTGTCATTCCACCTTGCGTTTCACCTTTTATTCAAGCATCAGATTCGGGAGTGGCTTTGGTAACCTCTGGGTGCGCCCCGAGCGGCCACACACAGCTGCGCAGAAGCCTGGGTGAACACATAGGTGGGATCCGGGACAATGGGTGTGTAACAACGGAAGCGACAAAGGCTACACAAAAATCATCTCTAGTCGCCTTTAGTTTATTTTAATAGGATGTCTAAGCGCATCAGACCTGGATACTGCCGCCAGGAAGTAAACAAAACCACTTGGGAAGTCCCAGATCGGTACCGTGACTTGAAGCAGGTGGGGACCGGAGCGTACGGGACAGTATGGTGAGTCCTTAAATCTCTGTTTTGGTCTGTAAATCTACATTCACCCTGCGATGTGCGTGGAGCCGCGTAACAAAGAGCGACGTAACATATGGTGCCACGGGGACAGGCGCTTTGTGCCAAACAAAAGGAGCTCAGGGTGCGCTTTTCTGAGAAGAAACACGCTGCCGTTTCACTTCCTGATGCGATAGTGACAATTTATTGCAAGGCTCCACTTGTCCGTTTAAAGGTCACATGGACTTGACTCTCTCAAATCATAATTGTAAACAATTAAACTGCTTTCAGATTCAGATCGTAAAGTGCGCGCCGCGCGCCTCAGCGTGGGCACTGCTGGTGTCAGAGCTCGCGCTCAGATGTGTCTTGTATCCCACGCTTTAACGTTGACAGATTTTATGACCTTAAAAGGCCTGACATTGGAATAGCACAGTAATGTTTACAAAGCAAACAACTCCCCATCCCTCATGTCAGACCAAGAGAGGCCACCTCGATTTCCTTCTGTGGTTTGTGATCGGATTCGAGAGTTACACCTTCCACAACATAATTCTCTCAAACCCAGTGAATATGCGTCTGTGTGTGAGCAAATGCCAGCCTAACTCTACTTAAGTGATTAGTAATTTGACTTCTGTACCATTAAGGTATTTAATTTAAGTAGCCTAAAGCACAGTGAAAGCTAAAGCTGTGGGGGAGTGAGCTGCCTTTATTTAGCTTGATAAAACAGACGCACTTTCCTGGTTGTATCAACAATATCTTCATGTTTCATTTAACCTTGTGATTTGTCTGTGTTCCAGCTCAGCCGTGGACTCCAGAACAGGAGCTAAAGTGGCCATAAAGAAGTTGTACAGGCCTTTCCAGTCAGAACTATTTGCCAAACGTGCCTATAGAGAGCTGAGGCTCCTCAAACACATGAAACATGAAAACGTACGTCATAAAGTCATGAGGTCAGGTGACATGTTAACATGTCAGAGCTTTTTCTCAGTGTTTTTGTCTTTCAGGTGATTGGGCTCCTAGACGTGTTCACAGCAGACTTGTCTCTGGACAGATTCACCGATTTGTAAGTCTGGCTCATATTTCACAGAGAAAAACACCTGATCCAAACCCACATGTTTGTTGTTGTGCTGCAGTTATCTGGTGATGCCCTTCATGGGCACAGACCTGGGCAAAGTGATGAAGTTACAGAGACTTTCTGAAGAAAAGATCCAGTATTTAGTTTATCAGATGCTCAAAGGGCTGAAGGTGAGTACATTTACAGTACAACTGTAATAAAACTACTCTGCTTTAATCTGTTTGGTCTTTTCTGTTTTAGTATATCCATTCTGCTGGGATAATACACAGAGTAAGTCCAAATGTAATTTACATAATGTAATTCACATCTCATGTATTTGTTATAAATATTTTTCACATTTTTTAGGATCTTAAACCGGGTAATCTTGCCATTAACCAAGACTGTGAACTCAAGGTAAACATTAAGAAATACACTTATTTTATCTGTTCAAATTAAAGTGATACAACATTATTTTCTTTAATACTACAATATTTACTTTCATGGTCATGTTGTTGACCTCATGTTGCTACTTGGTTTATCATATTTATACTGTGTGTTACTGGGTCAGTTTATGCACTTTGTAAACTGTGTGTGTTTTATCATATTAATACTGTGTGTGTTTGGCTCAGATAATAGACTTTGGGTTGGCGCGGCAGGCAGACAGTGAGATGACCGGGTACGTGGTGACCCGCTGGTACAGAGCCCCAGAGGTCATCCTCAACTGGATGCACTACACGCAGACCGGTGAGCAGATATCAACAATACCTCGACAACACACCGACAACACACCGACAACACACCGACAACACACAACAACACACCAACAACACACTGACAACACACACAACACACCGACAACACATCAACAACACACCAACAACACACCAACAACACACTGACAACACACAACAACACACAACACACACAACACACAACACACCAACAACACACAGACAACACACTGACAACGCCCTCAGTGAGACCAGATACACAGCACCAGAGCACTTTGTTTACCACTACTACCTTCTGTCAGTATATAGCACTTTTACAGAAACACACAGAAATCGAGCTCCACAGTCCCGCCCAGTTCAAAGTTCACTCCATTATTTTTCCCCAGAGTGTTTAAAAGCATCGTGGAGGTTAATGAGCTATGTGCTAAATAATATCCATAACTGTTGGATACATAAGCGGTTGTTTTTAAGCCCAAAATGCCAAATTCTGCTAAAAGTTTTATAACTTTGTGGTTTATACAGTTTCAGAGATAACGTTTTCATTAAATTATATGTATAAATAGATATATAAATTATAGGTCTTGTAATATTTTTATACTTTTTTTTTCTCTTAAAGTCTGGGAAGAAAATTGACAAATGTACTTCCAGAACCAGAAGCTCCAGAGTTTATTAATCTTTGTAATTGAAATATGAAGATTTAAATCCATTTTAAGAGGCATCTTATGTGCATTTTTTGTTGTTATACAAGTTGTACAAGAAATTTAAGTAGATCAGATGAATGGTTAGTCTTGCATGGATATTATTTTAATGGTAATAGAAACTGGGATAAAAACAAACAAAAGTCTGAACAAGACAGAGCCTGTGTGCGTCTCACTGCTGCTCAGTGAATTCTTTGTTTTACTGTGAAGAAGCTTGTGACTATATGTCTGTGTATATAAATAAACGTTACTTGTTATTTTAAAAAAAAAGAGAAACAACTAAGCAGAAATATTGGAAACATGTATATTCCACGTAGAAAGGCACCAGTCTCATCTTAACTCTATTATCTTCTTTAGCTGATAATAAAATTTGAAAACACAACTTTATTATGATGTTATTATTCTACATATCCTCTAGATGGAGCTATGTTATCATGTATTTCTGTACTGCTGCCCCTCTTAGTTATTTTCCACGCACTTTTCTTTAAACTCTTGACTCTGTTGTTTTCTCAGTGGACATTTGGTCTGTGGGCTGCATCATGGCCGAGATGCTCCAGGGAAAACCTCTGTTTAAAGGCAGTGACCGTATCCTTTTTCTACTCTGTTATCATTAAAGAGTTAAGTATTATTTGTATCCGGTGGTGGAACATAAAGTAAAAGTAGTAAAGCACATTAGTATCTGTACTGTACCTTGCTTTTACTTTACTACATTTGAGTGCAGGTGTCTGTACTTTCTATTCCACTACATGTTGGAACAGGACTCAAAAGTATTTTATTTTTATTACAGTTTGAGACCTGCTGAAAAGACCAAGGGGATTTTTAACATGTTGATAATTTCAACAAACAAATAAAAACAACTAGGGGAGAAAATCTAGCACAAATCTGCATCAGAATCACTGTATTTGAAGCTTCATTAGATCTCAAAATCTGAAGAATACTTTTACTTTTTACTCTTATATACATTTTTAAACAGGTACTTTAATACTTTTAGTTAAGTCGAATTTTTTCATGCAAAGCTTTTACTTATATTAGTATTTTTTGTATTTTTTTTGCTCCTATATCTGTACTTTTACATAGTAACAAATTAGAGTACTTCTTCGAGTACTGTTTCCATCGGATTGCATTGAAGCCTTGAACTTTAACCCATACTTCAGACTTGGACCAGCTGACAGAGATCATGAAGATCATCGGGACTCCATCTCAAGAATTTGTAGCAAAACTTGAATCAGAAGACGTGAGTTCAACAGCTACAACGCTTTCTTTCAAACAATATCGATTTAACGTAATCCCTTTTTTGTTTTTAGGCCAAAACGTACATCCAAGGTCTTGATAAAATAGAAAAGAAAGATCTAACCAAGGTGTTTCCAGACAGTGATCCACAAGGTAAGGCAAATCCAGCTTTCAATGCTTGTATTTTTGGGCATTTGCGGTTCACAATTTTCATTCATTTGTAATAGTTTCAGACCTTGTAATATAATTTCAATCAAAAACAGTGAACTACCCATAGAGTTTTATGTTTTTTTGTCTGGGATTAGGTTCAAAAATTAAAGGTCCTATGTGGTTTCCTTCTCAAAAACACACCTGGAGTTTTGTTTTGTCATTCACACATGTTTGAGTAATCCTTTATTATTAGTCTGTCTACATCGTCAAATTGTTCTGTTCCACCTTTTGATGTCATGTAGTAATACTTTTACCAGCTACCTTTTACTTTTATCTCAGTAGAAAACAGCAATTTCAGGGCTCAAATTATCTAAACCAGCAGTTCCCAAACTTTTTTGTGTCACGGACTGGTTTAATGTCAGACAATATTTTCACTGACCGGCCTTTAAGGTGTGGTGGATAAGTACGACAACATAAAATGATACGACCAACACAAAAACAGTGGTATTTTGTGTTGTTTTTTACTCATTTTGCTCATTTGTGGGTTTAATATTAGCTTTCACACATATAAACGTGTGAATGAAACAAAACACAGCTCCAGGTCTGTTTGTTATGAGGAAATAACACTATAACATAATAGTGTAATTTATGTGACAACAAAAAGCCATAATTTCACTTTAGTTAATTTGTGTTGACAGAGAAGATTTTGAACTTTCTTGGTCCAGTATTGATAGCCTACATATTACCATAAACCAGGATAAAAAAAAAAAAAAAAAAACTTTAATAGTATAGTATGATATTAAGATAAGATATATTAAGTAAGATAAAGTGGTCACCTCTTGTTTTAAGCCATGTTATAATGCTGTTACCTCCTCAGAAACAGACCTGGAGTTGTGTTTTGTTTCATTCACACGTCTGAGTAACCCTTTAGTTGTCTGTCTATCTTCAAAATGCTTTGTTCCACCTTGTGATGTCATGAAGTGGTAGTTTTTTTTAACCTTTATTTCAGTAGAGATTGGCAATTCCAGGTCTCAAATGATCTAAATCAGCGATCGCAAACCTTTTTTGCGCCACGGATCGGTTTATTGTCAGACAATATTTTCATGGACCGGCCTTTAAGGTGTGGTGGATAAATACGACAAAATAAAATTATATGACCAACACCAAAACAGTGGTATTTTGTAAATATAATAAACAACATTTCCAAAGATGACATGTTTTTTACTCATTTTACAGCTTGTGGGTTTAACATTAGTGTTCACACATAAACACACATGTGAATGAAACAAAACACAGCTCCAGGTCTGTTTGTGATGAGGAAACAACATTATAACATAGATCAGAAAACAGTGTGATATGGGTCCTTTTAAGTGACAACAAAAAAACAAACAAACATAATTTCACTTTAGTTAATTTATATTGACAGAGAAGATTTTGAACTTTCTCGGTCTAGTATTAATAGCCTACATATTACCATAAACCAGGATAAAAAATAACAACAACAAAACTCTTCATTAGTATAGTAAGATATTAAGATAAGATGAAACATATTAAGTAAGATAAGATATACATTCTGCAGTGGTCACCTCCTGTTTTAAGCCATGTTATAATGTTGTTACCTCCTCAAAAACATAAATGGAGTTGTGTTTTATTTCATTCACACATGTTTGAGTAATCCTTTATTATTAGTCTGTCTACAATGCTCTGTTCCACCTTCTGTCATGCAGTAATACTTTTACTAGTGTCAAATTAACTAAATCAGCGGTCTCCAGTCTTTTTTGTGCCACGGACCGGTTTAATGTCAGACAATATTTTCACTGACTGACCTTTAAGGTGTGGCGTGTAAATACGACAAAATAAAATGGTACAACCAACACAAAAACAGTGGAATTTTGTAAACATAATATTAAACTTTTCCAAAGACGTCTTGTTTTTTACTCATTTTGCAGCTTGTGGATTTAATATTATCGTTATATAGTCATATAAACATGTGTGAAAGAAACAAAACACAACTTCAGGTCTGTTTATGATGAGGAAACAACATATAACATAGATCAGAAAATAGCGTAATATTGGTCCTTTTATGTGACAACAAAAAGGCAATATTTCACTTTAGTTAATTTGTGTTGACAGGGAAGACTTTGAACTTTCTTGGTCCAGTATTGATAGCCTACATATTACCATAAACCAGGATAAAAAAAAATCTTCATTAGTGTAGTCAAAAGTTTTAGAACGCCAAACTTTTTCCATTTTTTTTTACCGTTTACTGTTGACCAAAACATATTCTAAACTTTTGATTCATGAAAGTGTCCACCTTTGGCAGATATAACAGCTGAACACACTCGTGGCGCGTTCTTTTTACAACAGAAATCAAATATTCTTCAGAAAGTTCTTCCCAAGTCTGTTGCAGAGGTTTTCATAAATGTGCGGCACTTGTAGGTTGCTTGACTTTTACTCTTCTGTCCAGTTCATCCCAAACCAGCTCGATGGGGTTTAAGTCTGGACACTGTGCTGGACACTCCATGTTTTCAAGTTTATCATCTTGTTTTGTTTTGTTTTTTTTCCTGAGGTAGTTTTGGCAGAGCTTGGACTCTTTTTTTTTTTAAACCTCTGGCTGTTCAGTACTCACCTTTGTACCATTTCAAGCTCTTCATTGGACTTGAATTGCAATAAATAACTGGGAAAATTAGGTTGTTCTAAAACTTTTGACCAGTAGTTTACATTCTACAGTAGTCACCTTCAACTAAATATCCAACTAAAGGTATAAAACTCTCTGTGTTCTCCCTGTAGCTGTGTGTGTCCTGGAGTGCATGTTACTGCTGGACCCAGAGAACAGGGTGACGGCTGCAGAGGCCCTTTCTCTTCCATATTTCTCAGTTTTTCGAGAACCAGACGAAGAGACCGAAGCCCTGCCGTACGACCACTCACTGGACAACGCCGAACTCACTGTAGACCAATGGAAACGTAAGCGTGGATTATTCTTAGTCTCATTAGATTGTGTTTTAATAAGGAATTTTACACAGATAATGACTTGAAATTGAATTGCTTTTCTGTTTTTAGGTCATACCTTTACAGAGATCTTGACTTTCAAACCTGTTTTGCTGGACTCAAAAGAAACTTCACTTTGAAAAAAAAAATAAAACACACTACGGATCAACTGTGGTACTCAACACTAAAAGACTTAAAGGTGCATTGTGTAACTTTACTTTTCCATGGAGGTGTTATTGTTTCACAGTATGGTATTAAACCTTTCTATCTCCATGGAGACCAAAGCGAACCAAGTTACAGGTCAGATCTGTGGAGAGGCGGCCCCTCTCACAGTCAGAATACCTGTTTTTTGAGGTATTTTTCTGCTATAAAACCACCTGTAATTGAATAAATGTGAAGTAGAGCTTTTTAATGTCACACTGTGGAACATTCCAGGCAATGACGTATCCATAGAAACAAGCAGAAAAGTTACACGGTGCACCTTTAATCCAACTTATTATCAAAACAAATGCAAGAAAGTAGAGGGAGGTACAGTATCTCTTACATGTAGCCGTTCTGAGAGATTTGGGGACTGATCAAGCAAAATAACACTGTGTAATTCTACAAATACTATAAGGGGCATTAGCAGTGGTATAATTATTTTTGTACTTATTTGGATGTCAGTGGAGCTCAACAGTGACCATCTTTCCAGCTCCAGAAGTAAATTTTCCATTAATTTTTCCCCATAGACTTTTTTTTTTTTTAAACTCTAATCAGACTAATCATGTTAATAAAGTTTAATCAGTTATATGATTAAACACAAGATTTGACAAAATGTTTATAAAGTTGCAGAAACAGATTTTAAAAGTGCACAGTGTAACGTTTCTGGTGTAATTGTTTTTCCCTGAATATTCTACAGTATGGCAATAAACTTGGTTATCATGATAGAGACAACCTCCTGAGCAGATCTATGGAGAAGCAAGCCTGCACATAGTAAGACCTTCATGTTTTTTGAGGTATTTTTGAGCTATAAAACACCTGTAATTGAGTACATGCAGTTCAGATAAGTTTAATGCCATACTGTGAGACATTCCATGCAAAGAAATAACATCTCCATGGAGACAAACAAGTATTTGACCCTCCGTTTTAGAAATTACATACTGCACTTTCAATAAAATTATAGGTCTTGTGGTCATTAATCACCACATAGACTAACTCTGAGCAAATATTCAAACTTTTAATTATTTTAATTTATTATTTTGGGAAAGTCTTTGTGAAAAATGAATGAGAAATTTACTTCCAAAAGTGGTCACTGTTGAGCTTTGTATGTCTTCATAAGTACTAGGGATGTAACAATAACCAAAATATTGTGATATCGTATCGTCAGAAGTCTCTCAACAAGAAATTACAAGTCTTTTTGCTTAAATTAATAGTTATGGTGCAGCAATAGCTAAAAAAACCCAGAGAGAACTACATAGACCATGATCCTTTGCTCTCGCTTTGTGCAGAATACATGAAGAAATAAATGTTCCAAGCACTTTTAAAGCTTAATTCTTTGGGTTAAGTCTTGTCAAAGGCATTTTAAGAGGAAAAAGTAGCATAATCACAGTTTTATTATTGCAATAAATATCGTTCTGTGAGATTTGGATATCGTTACATCCCTAGTCTGTTGTGTATTTAAGTGTTTTAAATGTTTTAGATACCTTACTGTTCTTCCCATTGCCTTATAATAATAATATATTCCAGCAAAGGCCGTTTTGAATGTTGACAACCACTCAGGCTTTTTCTATGTAAACATTTCTACGTCCTTTATCCTTTAAGTGTGACAACGTTTTCAATAATAAAACTTGACTCTTTTGGATGTGGTGTGGACTTTTTATGTTGTTTACGCTCAAAAACAGCAGGTGGCAGCGCGTATTCGACTTGGCAATGCAGATCCAGACTCCTTCAGACAGTTCATACAAAAAAGCGCCAAGGAAAAATAGATGGACTTCTATGAATTCTAGTATTATTATTCCACAGTTTGTTATTCTTAGTCTAGGGGAGTAATGTTAAAGACGTGTGGAATTTCCTGATTTGACCACATAAAACGTGCACTTATGTAACTGTCTTTTGACTTTGTTTATATTGTAGCTCCACACCAGGCACAGTGGATTTACTGTTCTAATATTAACAGCTGTGACGCATATTTTTATTCTGATTCATGTAAGATTATTTGTATGTCGCTGCGCTGGTCCCCTGCTGTGCCTCCGAGTGAAGTCCTTTTTGACATGGCACTTTTCAAACCATATAATTGCATTCAGATCTAATTATAACATTGGGTACGCTCTTGGGGACTTTGGTTCTTTTCAGTGAATGCTGGTGAGTCCGTGTATTTTTTATTATGCTCACTGTTTAATTGAAATCTGATCTAAAATAGCAGAGATGCGTCGTGTTGTTTTGACATTTCTATCTGATCTTGCATGTCACACAGAGGTCGTTATTGTAAAAAATAACTTGAAGGGCCCATTTTTCACTATTTTCTGAGCTTTATTGTTGTTGTTTCCTCATCAAAAACAGACCTGAAGTTGTGTTTTGTTTCATTCACACATGTTTAACACAAATTCTGCGTATTTCAGATGATTTCTTATGCCAAACAGAAAAAACTCGGTACGGTAATATCATGATATGCATCTCACAGTACGATATTTTGAAGAGGCTGATATAATTGCTGACTGGACACTTTTTTGCTTTTAAAATACCTTGACAAGATGTTGGTGTGATTTATTACTGCCATAATCCCAAGAATTCAAGTAAAAAACATATTTCTTCATGTTGTCTGCACTGAAATGAATCATGGGATATGTAGTTCACGATGTTTATAAGCTGTTGCAACTATAAGACCATGCATTTAAGCAAAGAAACTTGTGATTTGATATTATTGTGACACTTTTGATGATACCATATCACGATATTTTGGTTATTGTTACATCCCTAGGTAATACAGGAAGTTCTCCACTGTGTTTTTAAACTCCATGCACCTTCACAATAATAGTTAATAGTCTGGATAATTCCAGCTCTGGAATTGACAATCTTTACTGAACAAATGGTAAAAGGAAACCTGATTCATCAGCCGGTTTCGCTTTGTAGAAACCATTCGTTTGACATTAGGCAGGTACTTTTTTTTCTTTTAACCAATCGCTGCTATTTGGTCGTAACGTATATAATAACGTCTTTCCCCTTGATAAAATTCACCAAACATTCTCTTTGTTCCAGCTTTAAATCCTCGATCTCAGGAATCGTTGCCAACACAGAATGTATGGCTCTTTGCTGATTGGCTGGTGCCCAAACTAGCACTTCTGGGGTTTTTTTGCGTACAGTCCTAGTGTATTCCGATTCCTGACCTACGTAGTTGCTGGAGAGAAATTAAACTGAGCAGAGGCACTAGGTGGCACCAGCCTGGCTTCATGACATCACAAGGTGGAACAAAGCATTTTGAGCTTTGAAGATGTAGATAAAGTAATAATAGAGTGTTACTCAAACGTGTGAATGAAACAAAACACAACTCCAGGTACGTTTTCTGATGAGGTAACAACATTATAAGTTGGCTTAAATCTCACAAGAGTCAGTTTTGTGTAGTATAGGACCTTGAAAGTGCCTATTACAGATTAGACTACATTTTTTCTAAAACACAGTAAAATCACTGCATTTCAGATTTTGCAAAAAATGTCATTCCTTTTTCCCAGTTTAGTCATTTTTTAGGTTGAAAATATTACTTTCTGGTTGGAAAATGGTTCAAAACACCTCTAATGTGCACAGAAATTATTATTTGACAACTTTATTTTGCTAAAGTAATATTCAAAGTATTGGAAAAATGTCTGTGTTACCCACCTCAGTCAAGAAATCTGTCAACTAGACAAAAAGCAAAAACAAAAAGCTTCTATCCAGTTGACAAATTACATTTTTTCTTTTGCTCTGGTGCCGAGAAAATTGTTTCTTGTGTAACTTGTGCCAAACTTTGGATAGAATTCTCCCTAGTGTGATATCACAAATATGGAGCTCTCTATCTTCTGAAATGTTTTACATATTTTCAACTTTTCTTCACAAATTGCTTCATGATTGATGTAAAACTAAAAGCTAAAAAAAAAAAAATTATAATAATAATAATGAAAATGATAATAATAACAACAACAGTAACAACAACGATAACAACAATAACATTGACATCAACAACAACAACAACAACGATAACAACGACATCGACAACGACAATGACAACAAAAACGATAACAAAAATGATAACAACAACGATAACAACGAGGACAACAACGATAATGACAACAACAATGATAACAACGACAGCGACGACAACGATGACGACGACAACAACAACGATGACAACGATGACAACGACAACAACGATGACAACAATGACGACGACAACAACAACGATGACAACAATGACGACGACAACAACAACGATGACAACAACGATAACAACAACAATGACCACAATGACAACAACGACAACGACAATGACAACAATGACGACAATGACAACGACGATAACAACAACAACAACGACGACAATGACAACGACGATAACAACAACAACAACGACGACAATGACAACGACGATAACAACAATTACAACAACGACGACAATGACAACGACGACAACAACAACGATAACAACAACGACAACAACGACGATAATGACAACAACAACGACAATGACAACAAGGACAACAACGATAACAACAACAACAACGATAACAACAACGATAACAACAACGATAACAACAACGACAACAACGACGACAATGGCAACAAGGACAACAACGATAACAACAACAACGATAACAACAATAACGATAACAACAACGACAACAACGACGACAATGACAACAACGACAATGACAACAAGGACAACAACGATAACAACAACAACGATAACAACAACGACAATGACAACAATGACGACAATGACAACAAGGACAACAACGATAACAACAACAACAACAACGACAACAACAGCAATACATAACACTTGTATAAAATTAGAAAATGCTGAAAACCCACCCCACTCAAGTACCTCATAATAACTTACTGAAGTAGAAGTTCATAGTAGTGGTCCAGAGTAAAAAGTATTTGGGGAAACTTCTACGCAAGTAAGAGTAACTGCAGTTCTGAATGTAACATCTGATTTAGATTTTGAAGTTAATTTAAGGGACCTAACACTAAATAAGAAACATCTGGTATTTGAAGGTCATGCCACAAAAATGAGAAAAAAATCTGAACAATCTGCGCAAGAAATGTATTTTATCAAGATAACGTTTTTGTCACTTATAGAATTACTCATAGTGGAAAGGTGAACTCTAACCTGAACTCTGCGTGTCAGTCTGAGTCTTCAATGGCTCTCAGACTTTTCACAGCAAATATGTTTCATTTGACATCGCCGCATTATACTCTATAACCCAATCTTTTTTTAATACAAATGAGGGGCCTTTTAAGTTAAATTCCTGATGTTTAAATGCAGTTTTTAGTAATACAGCGAGTTCTTGGGCCTAGTTAAACATATAAATGACTAAATATAATAGAAATACCAAAATACAAAATAATCAATAGGAAATCTGTCTCTTTCTCCTCATCTGGGAGTATGACATCAACACATTCTCGGATCGGAAAACCACCGACGAAAAGGTGCATTTACGAGAAGCTCCAGATTGAAACCACCAGGGCTATAACGATTCCAGGTCTTAGGAATTACGGTTTACCAAGAATTTACCCAACGGAGGACAAAAATGTGGCAACAATTGACTCGATGGTCGTCTATAAATAATTTTGCCTTCAGAATGAGTGATATCTTTACGTAATAGAATTATTTTTATTTTCCTCTGACTTCCTCTGAGTTTTACGTAATGGTACTTCTCTGAAACATCATCCAACTGTCTGCTGTTTGACTTATTTATCTGTTGAAACTGCAGCTGAAGGCATCAACATTCACTGGGGGTGTGACGCTAACTGGAGGCACTGCTCTGTTACTCAAGTTAGCCTTTCATTTGAGCTTTTCAGTTCGTAACTCTCACCTTTTTGTTGAAAATCTAACACCTAAACATGAGCATGAACGACAAAGGTGTTAATTTTGTCTTCTTATGTACTTTAACTTCTTGGGTTCTTTTTAAAGACAATACAGTAAAGTGTATTTACCTTGTTGACATGTTTCGGCTGCTGCTGCAAGTCATCTTCAGAACTGTCACTGGTGTTGGTGGTGACGTGTTGTATATCAGTTGTTGTTACTTCCTGTAGGCGTTGTCAGCCTGATGGACCTGCAGGTTGCTCAGACTGACCACATCTCCCGTCGCCCGGTGTCATCTCGGTTAATGCTGTTTGTGCTTCGTTTCCTGATTTCAATGGCCTACCTGATCAAGTGTTTGAACTTGTTGTTTTCCGATCCAATGATCCGAGCCTGGTCCCAATCCATAATGTGGTCACCAACACCGGTGACAGTTCTGAAGATGACCCGCAGCAGCAGCCGAAACATGTCAACAAGGTAGATACACTTTACTGTATTGTCTTGGACCATGAACGTTCATATTGTATATACAGGCTCCTGAAAATGTGTTCAAATCAATAAATTTTGTATTTTTGTTTGAATTTTCAGGGAAAATTTGGTGAAAATAAGGCAGAACACCATCACAAATTTTGGATATGTTAAAAACAAACATCTAGTCTTTCTAAAAGAGTCCATTTTATGTTTGAGGGTTCTGTCAATTTTTTGGTATAACATGGTAAAGATGGCACCAAATGTATTTTTTTTATTTTCAATTTTTAACACTTAATATCTTCTACAGCGTTCATCACAGAGGGTCAGTTTTAAAA